TGTAAAAAAAAAAATAAGAATTAATTATTAAATATTCACTATTAAATATATTAAAATGTTAATTTCATGCTATAATGCATTCCTTAGCAGAAATAAATAAATAAATTTTATATTAATGTAGTTTATAAGTTTAATGAAATACTTAATATCCTTTTAAGTAAATAAAAGTAATTAAATATTTCAATGAATAATATTTAAGTAAAAAGAATAATTATTATTAATTCACAAAATTAATAAAATAAACTTATTTTTTAGTTTATTAAAACTATTAAATGCTGAAATAATTCTAAATAAATTGAAGTCTCAATTCATATAAAATAGAACAGCAATAAAACAAAAACATATTAAATATACACACGATAAAAGATAAAATGAATTAAATAAGTCTTCAGTTAATAATATAATAAATATTATATGTCGATTTTGTGAAATTTTATAAAAACTAATCTTAGTTTATTTAACATGAAAGATAAAAGAATTCACTTTTTGAGCTTTAAATTTATTAACTTTCTTTATTGAATTTTCTATAATATTTCAAGTTATTTATGTAAAATTAGACTAGAAAATAATTTTATCATTAAATTAGAAAAAAAAAATCAAATATAAATAATAAAAGTGTAACGTACAGTTAAGTTTACACTTAATCTTACAATATAAAAAATTCAATTAAATTCATTAAACTTCCTAAATTAATTTTAAATAACATTACGATATCTGAATGCATTATCTAGTTTTTAGTTAGCCTTATTTATTAGACGAAGTTTCTTATTTAAGAGATATCACATAATTAAATTAAATTTAATTAGTATTTCGGGCGTATTATATAATAGCTGATAATAAAGTAGAATAGAATATTGTCTACACTAAATTTATCTGTCAAAACATTTTTAAGTCAAAATACGAATAAGCATTCCAAGAGAATAAAATTCAGAGTATTTTAAAAAACACGGAATTATATAAAAGCGAAGTCAGACATCGCTTTCTTACCTGTCTGTGTCGATCGCTGCTGGATGCAACAATTGATTCTCAACCAAATAAAATATCATGGGAGAGAAAGTAACTTTACTGGCAATTTTTCAAATGATCAGGCATTTAGACATGATGTTTCCATAGCAACGATGACGCTAGAGGAGAAAAAGTTACTTGGACTCATCATAAAAACCAACAGTTTATATTGAATAACACTACAATATTTAATAAATAGTAATGTTTATTATCGAGTTTGTTACTGTTAATAAATGTAATGAATTCATTTAAATTAAAAAAAAAAATTTACAGTTAACATTTTCTCCTCTTAATTTAGACACAATATCACATAATTTTAATATATTTAGATATATTTATATGAGAACAATAATTTTGATTAATCGGATTCACTAAACATAAATTACTTTTTTACTTTATTTCCTACTGATTTATACAGAGTAATTTTACGTATTCTTGTCTCGGCACAAAATAAATTTAAATTTATATATAAATTTTAGTTTGTTTCTTTAAAACTTTATATATATATATATATTTATATTTATTATACTTTTAAAGCAATATTTAACTTATTCTTTATATTTTATGAAATATTTATATTTCCTATTTTTTTTTTTAACAAAACCGTTTAAAAGCACAAGAAAATTTAAAATATTTTATGTTAAAATTACAGAATGCTCTTCAAAAAATTTACAATAAAAATGGCAGGCAGTGAAGAGAGTTAGAAGAGCAACTCTACTTAGATATAATGATTGACTATAATAGCCCATTATGTTATTTCCATTTGCCATCCGATCTGTCGGTAGAATAGATGGCAATAAACTCATTTAACTCTGTTTACTATGTAGTTTCTTCCTTCCCCTTAAACTTTTCTGATGAAAGAAATAGATATTACTTTATAAAATACTGTCTGATTGAAATTATATAATTTGCTTTAGTATTAAAATAACATAATTGAATTCATAATTTTCAATAAAAAATTTTTTTTATTGATGTTCTAAACTGTTTTATTACCTTTGTTAATTTTCAATGTATTATATAATGTAACATAACATAATTCAATATAATTGTAATTCTAATTTATGAAATTTTATATATTTTTCTGTTTGTAAATTAAAAAAGAAAACAGAATTTTAACTGTTTTTTTTTCTAAAATCTTTACAATTTCTGGTATTATTAATACATTAATATTATTTGGTTGACTCTAATACATAAAAATAATACAATAGAATTTTATTTTAATGCGTAAAATACATGGAAAATATTAGGATTGAAGATTTTAAAACATTCAGAAATAGATTTAGAATTATTATTAGACACAAATAAAGTAATTTTAAAAAATTTATAACGCGAAGAAAGAAAAGAAAGATCCATTATATGTAATCACTGATTATTCATCATACAGGCTTATACACTATTCAACTAGTGTAATATATGTTAGGTGTTTTTTTCCTATAGAATATCTGTTGTACAAAGAAAATATTTTATTAAATCTATTATGTTTTTTGTATGGTTAAATTATTAATTAATGAATAATCGATTATCAAATTAGAAAAATGAACTAAATTAAATTCAAACGTAATCTAATAAAAATAAAGACTTATAATTTAAGATTATACGGATAACTATCAACAAATGTATTTACTTAATATATAATTTTGTTTTATTAGGATTATCGATCAGAAGAATACTCATTTCAAAACACAATTTTATCAGAATATCAAAATTATAACAATGATAAAAAAGAAATAAAAATAGAAAAAAATAGCTTCTAAATGTAATTGAGAATATTAGAAGAAATTTATCGTTTCATTAATGAAAATCTATTAAAAAAAACGAGCAATTGTTTATTATGACATCGTCACAATGCCAGGCTGCAATTTTATAATCATATTTTTAATTTATTTCATTAAAAATATATGCTCTCCACCTCAAATTAGTAGTGGTTTGTCCCTTTACAGTACATCATTAATAATAGAGTCGTGTCGGTCATCTATCTAACTCCTTTCGGGAGAAATTTTTGAATTGAGAAATAACGTAGCTTCCAGTTTTCATAGGAAGTTCATATATAGTTATCTTGTGATACATTGGAATTAAATGTAGATTACTATTACTCTCCCGGCTTTTCTAAGAGAAAGTGATAACGATTTGGAGAAACGAAATTTGTCATGATAATTTGTATATAAGGACTATTAAATTGCTATTATATAGTATTAAATTTTGGTGGTTAAAGGGTGAAGGGATGAAGAGATAGTGGGTTTCACGTATGATATCTCGAGAGGGATGGGACTTAATTAAGATTTTACTCGTTATTAGCATCACAATTTTTTTATAAAGTTCATTTCTACTCTCAAAACTAAACGTTTTACCGTTTTATAATAATAAATTAATAATCAAAAAGTAAATTTTTAAATAAAATCTTTTAACAGCCGAGAAAGTTACGCAACTCTTTGCCGGATTTTTTTCATTAGAATAAGTGCTAGTTTACTTCGTGGTCATTTAAATAAAATCTTTTAACATCCGGAAAAGTTACGCAACTCTTTGCCGGATTTTTTTCATTAGAATAAGTGCTAGTTTACTTCGTGGTCAGATAGATAATGAATTTAGCGTAAATTAGAATGTTTAAAACTTAAATGTGTAAAAATTATGTACAAATTTATTTTCTACAATTATAAAATTGATACAGCCAATTTATCAATAAAATTAGCGCTTTAAAATAATTATATCAATATTTACCTTTTTACAAGCCACGCCTGAATATTTATTAGTCGAGGTACCGAAAACTAAATCGTTTAATATGGAAGCGTATGGAGTCACTCCAATTCCTCCACCGATCATTATCGCAACTTCGAATTTGTACCAGTCTTGGTTGCCTCCTCCGTAAGGACCTTCCAAACGTAGCTGTAATTAATTCGATACGACATAAGATTAAATGTAAGCCACTTTGTGAAAATATAAATTACTGCACGTTCGTGACGCTCATGTTTATACAAACCTTTGGAAGAGGCGCATCGCTTAAATTGCTGGGATCTAGATAATTCCTAAGCTTCCAAGTCCAAGGTCCTTGAGCTTTTACGTGGACGGACAAATAATTTTCGTGTGGAGCAGAAGTCAAAGTTAAGGAATGATATTCATTCGGACTGAAAGAAGTACAGCAAAGCCTCACCCACTGACCCGATAAATAACGAAAGTTGGGTGGTCTTGCGAACTTTAATCTGGTTACATCTGAAATATATTTTCGTTTAGATATTCATACAAGATTCTTTGCTCTGCCCTGTTAAGAGTGAGTCAAATTTTTTTCAACACATTATATAAAATACAGTATATATTTATCATCATCATTATTATTATTATTAACTACTCAATCATTGTTTGTGTAGGGAAAAAAATGTGGGTTTAAATAAGATTAAGAACTAATCTTATTTAAACCCATTTATTTCCTAATGGTTGATAATTAAGAAAAATTCTTAATTATCAACCATTAGGAAATTCTTAATTACGATCGTATTAATAACTTATACTACTAAACTCACCTGATTATATTTGCCGAGTTTTTTTCTTTATTCCAAACATTTTCAGCCTATTTGGATAGGCCATCTTCAGGCTTTCACATTCATCGTTCTAATGGAACAATTTGTTCGAATTTCATTTGAATTTGAACTTTTAACAACTTATGTATATACAGGAGTAAATAAATAGCTAACAATAATATCAAAACGTGTTGTAACTGAACAAAAACACGAAAAACATAAATTAAAAATAAACGAAAATAAAAAATACACTCTCAAATCGCGTTGCAATTTAACAATGAAATAAAAACAGAAATTATATCAACTTTAAATGAGTCTAAACTACAAATTCCTATAAACTCCACATAAAAAAAAATAATCGACGACCAAAACCAAGAAAATGGAAAAAATAGAAATTCAAAAAAGTAAAAAAAGCAACAGAAGCCTAAACACAAAAGAAAAAAACCCACAACCAACGACTGGAAAACACAAAATTGAAAAAAGCAAGCGCGATAAAAAGCCAGAAGATTTTTTTATCTGGAGTTTATAGGAATTTGTAGTTTAGACTCATTTAAAGTTGATATAATTTCTGTTTTTATTTCATTGTTAAATTGCAACGCGATTTGAGAGTGTATTTTTTATTTTCATTTATTTTTAATTTATGTTTTTCGTGTTTTTGTTAAGTTACAACACGTTTTGATATTATTGTTAGCTATTTATTTACTCCTGTATATACATAAGTTGTTAAAAGTTCAAATTCAAATGAAATTCGAACAAAATGTTCCATTAGAACGATGAATGTGAAAGCCTGAAGATGGCTTATCCAAATAAGCTGAAAACGTTTGGAATAAAGAAAAAACTCGGCAAATATAATCGGGTATGTTTAGTAGTATAAGTAACTAATATTGATGAGAAGAAGATAGTAGATCGTATTAAAAAATACATGTGTTCCCTTCCCAATAAGTTCCATTTTCAAACAGCTATTTGTTTACAGCATATCTGTTCAAAAATAGTTTATTTTTGTATTTGCTATAAAGAGAGGATAATGAATTTCAATAGAAATCTAATAACACGTCGATTACTTTAACGATAAGTTAATAATTTCATTAATATTTATAACGAGTTACCTGAAGGCAGCAGTTCTGTCTCTAAGATGTCCAATTCCATGTATTTTGTATACAAACTTACGATTTTATCAATAGTGAAGATTATCGCCGGTCCAATTACAAACATCCAAAAACGTGGCGACTGAAAAATGTGTAAATAAGATACATTTATAAAATAATTAAATTTTTTTCGAATAATAATACTCACGCCAGTGATCCTCGCCAATCCGTGAATTAAACATAGGACGAAGAAAATAATGTACAGACTGTGGGTTGACCAAAAATAAGAATATGCTTTTTGCCTGATGTAAGGATGCGAGAAAACAAACATTATACATACAATAGCGAACAAAAGAATGCCGGTTATACCTGTAATTTATATTTTAAAAGATGTTAAATGAAATTCTCTTAGAATGCTACCGTCTAAATAATAATACACTCGACCCTTAGTATTTGTGGAATTCCGAGCGCGGTTCCCTCCACCCACAGCAGCTAACCAAAAAAGCATTAAAAAGTAAACAATAAAATAGTAAATTTTTAAATAATTTCTGTATTTTAAAAATAATTTTCCGTAAAAATAATTAACTAAACTGTAATATTTTTATTTCATATTTTAAATATAGGCTTAAAAAAAAAACTCTTTTTGCTCTGTGGGCACTAAGAAGGTCTCTTTAGCAAGCCCATTATGGGTTTGGCCAGGCCCACAATGGAGAGGCTGAGTAGTGAAGGACAGGGCTAGACATATCCGGAAAGACCACTAAGTGAAAAATTACGTGTGTGTGTGTGTGTGTGTTGGGGTCTATTTCGTTTACTATCTCAGGATGGGATAATGATTAAAAAACAAAATTTGGCATGGTAAATTTCGTATAAGGGGCATTGATGCTAATAAATTTTGGTGATTAAAGGTTAAGGGAGCTAGAAGAGGTCACGTGTCGTAGGTCCAGTGGGTCGACTTAATGAAGATTTTACTCGTTATTAGAATTTAAAATTTTTATAAGCTTATGTCTACCGCAAAATTAAGTTTTTTGCCATTTTATAATAATTAATATTATAAAAGTTTTTTTAAAAAAATCTCATAACAGATGATGCCACAGAAAATTTTAATTTTGGCAAGTAATTCCTAATGTTTTTCGCGGAGGAAGTTACACAAGTCGTTGCAGCACTTTTAATTATCTTCTGGAAAAACCACAGATACAAAGAGTTGAGTGTAATTGTAATTACTATTAATTATCCTATTCAATTCAAACACTATAAATGATATTGACTATGGCGAAATTAGTCTAAGCCTTAACTGTTTTTTGTAATGTGCAAACGAAAGGATAAGTAGCAAATTATATTCGTGAAGACCAGAATTACTTTTGTAATTTTATATGTTTAACTTTATATCACGATGTCCTTTAATGTTAGGCCCACCAGTGGCCTAATGGATAAAACCATTAAACACTAGTAGTTGGTCACGGATTCACGCCTCACCAAAGGGCTGGCCATACGGAATTTTTTGGGTTTTCTTTATGTATATAACACCTAAATAGGGGCTATTTTCCCTTAGAAAGTCCTCCCGGGAGGCATCCTCCTCGGCAGATCGCCCATGTCGTAAATAAACCAAACCAAACTTTTAATTTTAAATAAATATTTTTGTATTAAGATTAACTTGATAAATACATTTGAAATATATATATAGCTAGGCCTAAAATTTAGGCTAGTAAAGCGAAACAAATATTTACTCAAAAATATCTAATTACGGAATATGTTTCAAAAATCAAAAGAAAATTCTTCTTTCAGAAATAGCTAATCAGTTCCTGTACGGTCCTATACGGGATGACTTCTGGCTCAGAATGCATGCCATTCACGGATGGTCCTGCGAATGGCACACACCCTAAATCAGGAACCATCGGACGAGAGTTCAGAATAAAAAAAAACCGCAAAAAATAAAAGAACGGTTCCATGAGATTGGGCGTAAGTGAAACACAAAAATCATAGTGAAGATTAAGAAAAATAAACGACAGTAAAACGGAGAAAAGAGTGCCAATTGGAACACCAAACAAAAGATGCGGCAGACCGATCTATGACGCAGCGCCAGGTCATATAATAACTTTCTATCTTGATTCAGTGATAATTTACCCAAGTGAAATTCCATTTTACTAACCAATAAAGAATCAAAAGAACAATCTAATGCAAAACATTGCTAATGGTTTTAGCAACTTTCATTCGGGCAGTTATTTATACAATCGAATATTTAAGTTAATCACATTAATTCTTAGTTGTCATATGTATCGTTTCTGTCTGATGGAAGCGCTGAATCGCTTGTCGCTGACTTTATGACGGAGTGTCCGGTAGTCTTTTAAAGTACTGTACTGTATTTAAAAAAACAAAAGGTGTGAAATCACTTCCAAATAACTAGCTTTAACGAAAACTTTCGATTTACGATTTCGTCCGTTCCCAACGTGCAGATCAGAATGAAACCCGTACTAATCTGGTCTTAAGTTTCACGACAGATAAAAAAAAAATCAGATTAAAAATTACCGAACGTTTACCAAACCGGAAAGTGGTGACGGAAAAGTCAACGAAAGATGTATTTATAAATTCGGATGTAACCAATTTTTCATCCGCATACAGTAATAAGGAATTTAACGTCACAGGTTTAGAAATTCTCTCGTGTGTTTTCGGCAACGACCTGCTAGTCACGCTGATATCACGCACAACACGCGAATCACTTCCGTGGTATCAGTCGTTCCCGGCCACGATGGGTAATTGGCTTTAGACGAGATTCACCAAAGTCCAAAGATTTTCGAACAATCATGGATAATTATTAGTTGTACCAAGAATAAAGATCTTACCTGTTATTGTTTGAAACAACCAAAAGGCGATGGTCGGTTTAAAGTCGGAACTGAAATCGAACAAAAAAGTTAATTGTCTGGATGGAAACCAAAAATTAGAAGATAACAATTTTTCGTAGGAAAGAAAAGTCGCTAAAATATTAATAGAACTAAATCGCGTTACATTTTTTTTCTCTTTCCACACTGCGGGCACTAAGATAGTCTCTTTTAGCAAGCCCATTATGGATTCGCCCAGACCCACAATGGGGCGGCCGGGTGTTGAGGGACGGGGCCTGACATATCCGGACGGACCACCCCCTCGAAAAATTTCTGGAAATTTTTCGACCCGTCAAAAATTTAGAAAATTCTTTAAATGCTACAATATAAATGTGACTGTACAGTATATCTGTATATAAATAAATAAATAGTAGTATAAAATATTGCTGTTTAGTTTTAGTTTACATTTTTCTAAAACAGAACTTTGCTTTTAGTCACCACATATGCATACCGGCATATGTGGTGACTAAAAGCAAAGTTTTTGCTTTAGAAAAAGAACGTTGTTTAAATCGTTTGGTTCTCAGGAAGAAACTGGATTTCGCCATTATTTCGATCACCGACAATGAATTAATGTTACAGATAATTTCAATATAATAAATACGATGGACACTTACTGGAAATGCATTTCCTTGGTGAGACATTTCAAATGCTCCAACGGCTGCGTAGACACGTGGTAAAAATTAATGCAATGTCCGACGGTGTGAGCCACTGCAATACAGAATTCTTGTTACAAACGTATTTTAATTGCCATTCGAAACAATATTGAAATTCGACAGTTTGTTTTTGTTTAAGGAGACAAGCGAATGATGGTCGAAAGGGAAAATTATCGCAGCTACCGAAAAAGTGAAATTTCAATTACAGGAATTCCTAAACTGCAGTTTTGAAATAACGCGATATCTACCGAGAATTGGGTTATTACAATATTGTAAAACTCTTTTGTAATATTTTGTTACACATAGGCCTACATATATATAGTGTTTTAAATCAGATCAAAAATTAATGCTTTCTTTATATAGCCTAAATAAAAATATTTGTAATTAAATGCCATTTTTCTTTCCTTAGGAACGCTGGAACAAAGATTGGAAACAAGGAGTTTGATATAGGGAAAATACTCTTTCTAATGGTTCCAAACAGAAAATCTTCGTAAATGACACATTTGGAGATTTGCCCTTCAAGATTGGTACAAATCAACCATGAGGCATTTTTATCTAAGGATATCTATACAAATCGAAAAGATCAAGACTTCTTACTTTACACAGGTGATAATAAACACGAATAATTAACAGCCACACCAATAGATAATAACTGCTTATTTTGTGCACACGGGAATTTAGGCACTTCTAATATTTGGGAACTTATATTTATTTTGTACCTGTTCAGTTCCTCCTTAGTATTGTTTTAGAGTATATCTACAGTATATCGTAAAAAATTAATAAACTACGTTATGAAAGAATATTTTATTTTTAAAACTCCATCCTTTTAAAAATCCCGAGCACGGATATGGCTTCTCACATAGTTTCCGCTTTTTAATCGCCTTTGTTATGTGACCCTCAATCGATTTATCTATAATTAGTAGCGATCATTAGATAAATATTTTAAACATATTTTAAAATATAATGAGTCATATAAAAAGGAATAAGCCAACAAAATCTTATTTTGAAAAGTAGTCAACGAGCAAAATTGTCGGAAATTCCTGTTGTAGAGTAACTTCGGATGACATAACTGCTATTTATAGTAATGTCTTAATGGGCAGTGTGTTCGAAGTATGTACAGACTTATATTTACGAACACGAATCCCACATATAAATTTAATTTAATTTAAAATACAACTATTTATTCCTAGATATTAAGCAGCAAAAATGTTACTCACCGGTGAAAACGAATCCAGTGACGGCGATTATCTTGTGAGCCCGAACATGAGAGTCTAGCGGAACATATTGATGAATGGCCAATTCTCTGAGTTTTGTAATTAAGTTTCTACTCATGGTTAACGGCAGCAGAGAGTAACAGAAGGACAGAGCAGCAGCAGATCCGCGTGTAAACGCTATTCCGACTCCCATGACGTGCCTCAAATCCGTGTGTTCGGCCAAATAAGTGTAATCTGCGAAGAAAAAAACGTTGGCACAATATACCTGGGAGAAAGAAAAACAGGAAGAAAGGAAAACGGGTTACTTACGAGCGAATCTTTCCAGGAAAAGGACAAGAGTGACCACATAGAATAGAAAGAGGTAAAACAGGTGTTGTCGATATTCTTCCAGAAAGGTCGCCAAGTCGTTCCATTTTCTTCTCAACCAACCGTATTTGGGTTCCGGCGATCGAGTCACTCGGAAGCTCGTTGTTCTTCACAGTCATATACAAAAATCAAATTTGCAAAGCTCGATCATATATTACAGTATAATCTTCGCGCATTTAATATTTTGTCGAAAAATAGGCGCGACCGATAAGCAATATCTTTCGTGGATTAACCAGGTACTCAAGTGCAGAAATTCTGTCATAGACTGGCAATTTACGTCATAAAAATGACATTAGAAAACTGCGAAACATCAAGTTATCAAAGAAAAATAGGACCTAAACCGATGTTACCAAAAATAAATTTTTATTTAAAAATTTGCGAAAATTTTCGTTTGTTCTTTACCAAACTTCTTCGGGCAGTTAAAATATCCTTGGAGCTCTCCAACAAATCTTTATATTAAGTTATAATTTTCTGTCTTTTGCAATAGCGCGAATCCTTTTAATTGTACGATTTCATTTTGAATAAATATTAATATAGCCTATTATTAAAATAAGTAACATAATTTTTTACATAAGAAAGTTTACAGATAGACACGAAAAAATCCTCCACATAAGCACTTAGATCGTTAGTTTTCCGATTGCGGTGTCTCATGGTTTTTGTTTCAAGATATCCAGTGACTACCTTATAGAGCACAGGTTCTCAAACTTATTTCGACCAAAGCCCACTTTGAGATTAAAAAAAAATCTAGTGCCTCCATACTTTTTAACTTATTTTTTTACATTACCATCTGTTGCGTATCTTAAAAACAGTTATTGCAAATATAATGTTTAAGCATGCATTACAGTAGAACCTCGATTATCCGACCTAATTGGGGACTGGGGTTGGTCGGATAATTGAAAAGTCGGATAACCGAAAAGTATGAAAAAATCCATTACAGTAGAGCCTCGATTATCCGACCCAATTGGGGACTGGGGTTGGTCGGATAATTGAAAAGTCGGATAACCGAAAAGTATGAAAAAATCCATTATTAGCGTAGTATATTATTATATCCCATGTAATTAGAATATTAGTATATTAGTATATCATTATTAACCTACTTCGCGTTGAAATTTTCATCGATGTTAAGTCTAACAAAAATTTTTTAAAATAATAATCGTCGCTATTGTATCGTTAAAAATTAGAAAATTAAGCTTCGTTTAAATACTGGCTCCCTTTCATGGTCGAATGAGTGTTGCCAGCTAAAACACGTAAAAATAATATTAAAGTAGCCAAGACATAGCCAAATATTGTAGCGCCACATCACTAGCGGACATTTGAAATTTGCCGACTAGGACGGTCGGTTAACCGAGGGGTCGGTTGATCGGGGGTCGGATAATCGAGGCTCTACTGTATTATATGGATAGGATTGATAGGGTATGACCCATATTCTATTTCTGAAATCAAAGAATGTTTCAATGAGAAGAAATAAAAGTCATATTTAATCACCGAGCCTTCTACTGCCCCCTGAAAGCCTCTAGCGCCCACAAGGGGGCGTTATCGCCCACTTTGAGAAAGGTTGTTATAGAGTTTAATGCATTATCGAGATATCCACAATTCAAGCTTCAAAATACCAACTCTAGAAGTTGAGAAGTTGTAGTGAAGTTGTTTATAACTCTTGTTTGTAAAGTTGATAAGTTGTTTTACGGCATATTTTTGTTTCTATTTCATTTCTGCAAGTAGCCTTGAATTATGACCGAGTTCCATTCCGAATCCCCCATCGTATGCCGAGCATAAAAATAATGCTAACGAGCAATTATTTATTGTGACATGGTCTCAATGCCGGGCTGCAAATTTTAATCATATTTTTAATTTATTTAATTTAAAATATATTTTCTCCATCTTAAGTATTAGTAGTAGCTTGCCCCTGTACATCATACTTTTCCTTTAACAATAGAGCCGTGCAGGTCATCCATTAACTGTTTTCAGGGGAAAAGTTTTGAATTGAAACAACATGACTTCCGTTGCAAATGGAAGTTCAAATTTAGTTAATCGGCCCTCCTGTCCCTAAGGTTTCTACATCTGTTCTCTGATTTTATTTATCTAACTCCGTTCTCGAGATTAAGGAAAGACAGACGGATGGACGACTATCTACAGAAATTTATACGTCTACGATGTTTTCAAATTGCAGCCCAAAAAAAGGGTACGATAATGAAGGCCTTGTGTAAGCAGATACGTATAATACAGCTTGTCTTGTAATCAGAAGCTAACTCAATTTTATACGTACTGTACTATTAAGTAACTATACAAAATTAAATTATTAATACAGACTGTGTTTTACTTAATTAACACAAAAATTCTAGGAAAGATATAAGGCAGCCGTCTCGTTTAAACTACTAAAATCCGAGATATTATCACGATTTTTATAAGCTTTACGTATCGTGGATATGACATCAAATTGACGTCATTTTTCTGCACGCTAGACGCTAACAAAAAATAAACATCGATTCCTTAATCGATACGTAAAGCTTTGGATAGAGTAGTAGTAAGGCGCTAGATAACCCAGGTATGCTCATTCGCCATGTTGGTCCTTAGAAAGCAGACGACTCTCGTAGAAGTTCAATAGAAGAGACACGAAAATAATCATAAATTCAACTGTATCTTAAGATTTTGCAAGGTCGAAATGATAAACTTTGCCAAAATTTAGTGCAACTAGTTATAAAATACAGCTAAATTTAAAAATCTTGGAATATGACGTCAAAAGGACCAATATGGCTGCACACGTGACGGAAGAGTATGAGCATACCTGGGTAATCTAGCGCCTTAAGTAGTAGGAAGTCAAATTGACGTCATTTTGTTGCACGCAAGACGCACCACGCAAGAACTTAAATCAAGCTTTATATTCAACGCCCCATTTCTAATTCTTGTTGGTAGAATTCGTTTTGCCAGATAAAAAGAGAAGAATTTTAAAATTTTCGACTCAATTCTTTCGCGGATTCCGTCGACTTCGACAGAAAAAAAAGCGTCGCTCTCTACTTCCACAAGTAAGTACTCGGTTAAATTTTAGTTTGTTGGAAACTGTTAGAAATTAAGAAACTTTCAGCGCAAGAAGAGAATCGTCAGCGTAAAAAACGGAACTTACCTGTCCAAGTTCCTCGTCGTAGTTAAAAAGTTCTGTTTCGCTCCTGACAAATAAATAAATAAATAAATAAATCTGAAGACATTAATATAAAGAAAAATAGATCTACGTCACTCCAAAAGAGTTTACCGTGTTCCACTCCCTTTCCCTACTCCGACTTTTTATACTCTACGTAAGGAATGACCCCCCACCCAAAGGTCATTTGCGGCCAAAGTTCCCACGTCTATCGCCCGCCGAGGATGGGAGAATTTCTAAAGTATTCTGTCGATAGGCTACTGTTGATTTTCGCTTTCCATAATCGACCGAAAAGATATGGAACGTGAAAATATACTTCTAAAGCGTTGTCTTACTTGCGGAAACAGCAGAATTTTTTTAAAAGCAAAAAAGTCCAAAAAAAAACGAGTTGAAAGGAACGAAAGTCTACTGTCGATAGAAAATGGTAGTAATATTCGCAGTTACACACACCATGAATCTGTAGGCTGCATGGCGTGAACCAAACTCCAGTGTTATCTACATTGGAAAGCTTTTAAATATCCACGAATATTTATCTTTCAAAACGAGAAGGAATAAAACGCGAAATGTTTTCGGATCTTCAAACAATTTGCTCTCGAACTGCACTCGGGTGTAGATTAACAAGGCAGTAAGTAAGGGCACTACTGAACCATAAAAACTATAGCTCTAGTGTAACTAAAGAAAATACAAATCTAACTAGAAAATGCTTATCAATGGAAAGCATTAACACCTACTCAGAAACTATCAAATCATTATTATTTACAAAGAAAACGTTTCTTGCTTCTCAGTCTACAAATGCATCGATAAAACAATCATGAGAAAGCCTGTGACATATTTTATGTTCGATCGAATCAGGTCAAACATGCAGCCATAAGATTGTTTTAAACAAATAAATTTTACAATTTTTAATTTTGAAAGCTTCTTTTTGCGGTTGCAGCTTATTAACAGGAAGTGTCAATAACAACATGAGCGCATACAAATTTGGAAATACATCTTGTAGGTTATTCAAATGCAGCATCTCCGATAGGTTCTGGAAACCGCTATTGTTAAGCGAAACGACGTATAACGAAACCAATTTTACCATAAGCTAAATGATATAAACAGAGTTAAGTTCCTGTGGTATTTTTCAAATCACAAAATTATCACTAAATTTCAAAATAAAGACCCAAACCTCCTCTAAGATGAAAGAACTATACAAATTACACTTAAGAACAATTAATGAAAAAAATAAAATAATTATTTATCCAATTTTGGGAGTCAATGAATGATGGCAGTTGTAGTGATGGTGGGTGGTATGGTTAAATCCTCATCAGTAGAGATGGGTAAAGACGAATGATAAATATTTGCAAAGGGAAAATTGTAGGAAAACCTACCAACAAACACGCTAAAAAACAAATAATTAGCAATTGCAACGAATTATAAAGACGACGCTGTATAAATTCAAAATGGATAAAACAAAGTTCGTCTACTGTTTAAATTGACATTAAATGATGTCTGAAGTGTTGTTAACGTGGATATAACCCGTTATTTGAAAAAAGTGAAAGTATAATGAATGCAAATATTAATCAGATTTCAAGAAAAGAGTTCGATCAATATTCTTATTGAATCGCATTTGCAACCCCCAGCATTTATTTTCCATCTCGTAGAATTAATTTGAGGAATGTTCGTGTTTATAAAGAAAATTAAACAACAATAATTTATTGTAAATGACTACAAATGTATTGTAAACAACAATCCAAAAAGTGCAACTCCTGCATCAAATGTGACAGAAGAATTTCGATGCAGTGCTCACGTTGTTTGCTTAAAAATAGCACATCATGCCATGTGCATATCATTACAACAAAATGAAATGTTTTTATGGATTTTAGCAATATGCTATCTGTATCACTGCAGATCACATTGTCATTACTTTTGGAGTAAAGTTCTTCTAAAGCGTTAATACTTTTTCAAGCTGAAATTTTACTACTTTTATGCATTTTGTTTGTACTACCCGTTTTATATCACTAAACTGTCTTCTCAGTTTAGTGATATAACGTGTTTTGATAACATTGCTAGTATGCTATGATGCTCAAGCAATTCGTATAGTCTCTGAGCCTCTGATAATTCCAAAAAATACTCAAAAAATTATCTGAAATATATAAATTTGTAAGCATGTGCAGTAGAACATACTACTAAGATGGCACGCACGGGAAACATACAGTATACTGCAGAAGGATTATTATTCAAAACACCAGACACACTCTTCATAATTCTGTCGTTGTTATAGCCTATACAGTATTGTAGGGGTATGTTATATTTTTGTTTTTCATTTGTTAAAATATTTTAAACGCAAATCATTTTCATTACTGAATTGTGGGCGTTAGTAAAGGATTGAAATGTAAATTAATTAAATGGACTTGAGGCAATTAAAAATAAAATATCCTTTGAATAAACTTTAGCGTGGGGGAGGGACTCGTTAATACAGTACTGATTGTAAGCTCTTTGGTTATGTACGCGATTTCCAGAAGATGACGTTAAAAATTTAATGCATATTCTATTAGAAAATTCTTTTCCAAAAATTCTCGAAAATGGAAACAGATAAGACCAAATCGAATTCTTTAACTTTCTGTGAGTCGTAGAAAATTTGCGGAAAGTTTCCGTTTCCGAGAATTTTTGTGAAAAAAATTTTCCCGTAGAAAAAGCATTAAATTTTTAACTCCATCTGCTGGAGATCGTGGACATTACCAAAGGTTACAATCAGCCTTAAGAAGAAAAAGAAAGAACAAAAGAAAGAATTAGGAAAGAATTAAACACACACAAAAAATATTAAACAATAACAGAATCAATACGCTTTTCAACAAAAGCCTTTTTGTTTCTTATATTATTTGCTTGCTATCCAACAAACTTTTACAATAGCAGACGAAAGAAGTGCGAAACAGTGACCTGGATAACAATTAACATTGCTTGAAAACATCGAAAATCCTATTTTATTACACAGCAGTTTTTTTAATTCGACTGTTAATAATTTTGTGTAATCTTATGGCCCCTTTTACAATAAGGTCCGCCTGCTTAGAAGACATTGCATCCTCTAAAGTTGCCCCTGACTGTACTAGCTTCCGTCTGGAAATTCCGACGACTCCAAACCGAACAGAAATTCGGAATAATATTAGCATTCTTCCGAATTTCTGCCCACCACAAAACCAACATTCTAAATTCTTCGAAAACAGGATCGACAATTTTTCTGTTTTCCTCAGATAGGAAGTAGATTTTTAAGACGGGAATTTTTCAGAAACCATCAATAATCGAACCTAAAGTCTAGTTAACATCATAGGTATCTGTGTCTTCCTAAATTCATTCATGAAACAACCATCGGTGAAGTCACAATTAATTAAAATTCCGATCTCGATTTACTGAGAATGGAATTTTGACAATGAAAGTGCCGAATAAACATGACCGACCTTACACAACGCACACTTATGGTATCTTTTTTTTACTTTTAAGTAATGTTTGTAACGTTATATTTAATATTTTTCCGACATCTCCAGAAAAAATCACGCATCACGAAGAATATGATAGGAGCGTTGTCTTTCTACTAATCAGTTCAGTTAACGTAACTTACGTTAACAACTGATTAGCTCGTCTAGTCATAATTGCAAAAGAAGCGAGTGGTTTTCTTGATCGTTATTAATTACCTTTAAAATCCAAGCCGATATCCACTAGATGCGCCGTGTGCTCTTTCATTATGTTAGAAAAGTCTTCGTAACTAAGTTCTTCCTTGTCTCTCAAGCCGGCCGCAGCAAAGACGCAGTCGATGGCGTCTGTCACCGGCCTCTCGGTCAAAGACGAGGTCTTGGCCATGTCCACCAAAGACCTCAGCATCTTGCTCAGCTCATCTCTTCCTACAACCCCTACGCCATCGTTGTCACACATGTCGAAGATTATCCGCAGTTTATCTTCGGTCTTTCCTGAAAATAATCCAAAGGTGAGCTACTATCCAGGTCTCCCAGAAAAATTTTTATCGAAACTAGAAAGAAGCGTGCAAATGTTGCCGATCTGAAGCTGGCAAAGCGAGAAGTAAACACCTCTCCCAATAAGCCTCCGATAGAAGCCAGAAAACAGAGTTAACTTATATAAAAATTTTAATTTCTGCTTTAAATCGGTAGCCAAGAGAAAGCGTGAAGGTTGTGCGGGGACAGATAAACAGGGAAGACTCGATAAAACCACGCAAATGATTGGCAGATCATGTACTGTACGTAAAAGGTAAACGTATCACTATATTAGAAAACTTAATTATCCATCGCTTTTTAAATTAAGGGCTAAAAGGAGGAAAGAATCGAGCACGAGATAAGCCAAAGTGATAGACAAATAACTATCTTGGAATTTTGACGCCATTCCGATGGTATCAATACTGTCCGATAGTACCAATTCGTCTGTCGAACGAAGAACGATCACTTTTAATGAGCAGTTAGTCTCCTAAGACACGTAACTCAAAAATTGTTATGTTAACATCGTTATTAAGTGAATTTTGATGCAATTAAAATAATTATATTATTTATTATATACATTTAAAACGATACTTTCTGTGGCTTGATGGTGCAATTTGTATGCACACGATACTATTAGCTTGCTATTTCCGCAAAGAGAATCTAGGTTTAATGTACTATGTACTATGAATTAGAGATTTCTCGAAATATTTTATCAAGTTAGTTCAACAACATTTTGAAATTACAATCATGACGGAGAGTTACACGACTTTTTCAGAAACAAAATATTTTACAGAAAATATATGTACTGTACGTGCAAAGAGATTATAAAATTAAAGGAAACGAAAAGGAAGGAAGTCTTTTAAAAAAATTTCCGGAAGTTAATACATGATAAATAAAAAATTTCAAACCCTTATGGATAAAGATAAAGCAAACATCATTTATCTTTCCACAATGTTTATCCACCAGTATTTGAATGTGATATAATTTTTTTAAAAGATTCCTCAAAGCTATAATTTAAAAGACGGTTTTAATTATCCTAACTACACTTGATTTTCATGATTAACTCAGGTCTACCATTTTATTATAAGCTTTCAGTTGAATAGAAACTTAAACTAGTTAGTAACTACAATAAGTAGAGGTGATATAAGTTGCTTTCTTTTTGTGTTATATGATGACATGAAGTATTTCCTGTTCCTCTAAAATCTTAATAGAGTTAGATCAGTCACGAATTAATCGTTGCGGAATTCTAAAGTAATTTTCTATTATTTCGTTCAAATATACTGTACTTGTAAAGGAAGGAAAATCTTCCACCATGTTTGCCGAGATCAGTGCACTAATCGCCCGAAGTAACACTAATGCCAGATTACGTGTGATCTTAAAGTGGTGGGTGTTTCTGGTGGTTAGAGATCGGAAAGATTCGAATGAGAAGCGAAAAACGAATAACACCTGGATTTTTAAACACAAAATTTCGGCAGGGAACGAGAAACTCTACTCACCTCTAGAAAAGGAGGCGACGGTGTCCAGAAATTCGCGGAAACTGATTCTCCCGTCTTTGTTTTTGTCGACGCAGTTGAACATGCGTCTGACGAAAAGCGAGTCGTGTCTCATTCCCAGGGCTTCGGCGAATTCCCTCTTGGACAGGGATGTGGTCATTCCGGCCGCCGCGTCTTCGTCCAAACCGTCAAAATCGGTGGTATCATCGGATTTTATTCCGAAGGTCTGAAGATAAACATTCCATTATAAATTCGGGGACGAAAGAAAAAGAAGACGACGGGAGGCTGCTTTCCTCACCAGAGCATAGGCCTCTCTGAAGAAACGCTCCAGGCGACTCTGCCTCTTCTCTTTCGTCTCCGAGTTTTTCAGCATGGTTTCTCTGTTAGTGGGGATCAGTTCCAACGTCTTCTTCCGATCGGTCAGAAAGTTCTCCAGTTTATCCAGAAACTTTCTTCTAGTCTGCGCCTTGTCGAACTGCAGAACCTGTCCCAAATAACAAGACCATTTAAACCTTTCTCCTTCCATTTTTTTTTTTCGCGAATAAATCTTTCTTATTTTATAGGTGATGTTTTTCGAAAATCCGCCTATTTCTTTTACTTTCGGGCAGTCAAGTTCGCACTCTCCCGGCCAGAAATTAGATTATTAAGGCCAGATAGGAGATCTAGAAGAGAATTCTACGAACAAAAAGACGACGCCAATTCTATTATAGAACTGAACAGCTTTCTTCAGAGGCGGGTCACTTTCAGTATGCCGACCTATACAATAAATTAGCGACCTACAACATCTATAGAAATCGATGAACGACCCATCCTATCGAAAGGACTCAACTACGTCTTTTCATTTCCGGAAGATATTTCTTTCTCTTCCGACGGTAGGTCGAGTCCTTCCTCCAAGAGGGAACGTTTAGTTGCGGAAGACCTAATTTTTCGTCACTTGAATTATCTATTTGAAAATCGTGCATTGTGAAGGGAGGGAGAGAAAAAAAGAATGTTTTATTCCCTCACGTTTTATCACAATAATTATCCGAAAAGCATGTGTTTATTTATTTATTTTGTAGTTTATTATATGCCAGTTCTATTTAGCCTACGGTAGTAAGTATCTTCAATACATACTTAAACTCAAATCTCTACAAATAATATCTTGCTGCAGTCTAAAGAAAACATTTTCTGGTGATTATATTTATCTCCGCGTTTTCACCTATCTGACCGACACACAAGGAAACGAAACTTTCTATCAAATATCGCTAACTTCTTTATTATTTTTTTACCAGGCGGTAATTTCCTGTCGGGTAAGGAATTTTCCAATAAAAAAAATCTTATCGATATGAATATCAATCAGAAGGGTCGTTATTATCGTTTCGCATCAGGTGTTACCGCGACTAGACTTTGGTGGAGACGATTTGCACCAGTTGCCGGTCCGACTTTGTATACAACTCTGGACCTTTTTGTAATTTGAGCCAAGGGTTTAGCGGTAGGTGACTCCGGCAAAGCTTTCCGGCTCGTCCGAGTTGGAGCCGGGCTTGTCTTAGCTAAGAGCATTTGGTTTCGACCATAAACAGGAAGTTGTACAGAACGATGGAAGAGTCATTGGCCGTCGTTTCCGAATGGAATGACACTAAGCGTTTTGACGCGAAAAGAAAATTTCTTTTATATTAACGATAGAGCAGATCCCGTCGGAGATTATTTCATCGAAGGCAAATGCCTTAGACCGACGCATCAGTCGGACAATACCGAAAGCGATGAGTGGAGTTACCAAGTCGTGGTCCGCGGGCGATCTGATCAGTACGGTGGGCTTCTTTCGGGCGTCTTTGCTGACTTCGACCACTACCGATCCGACCGAGGCCAGGCCGATTCTCCTGAGAATCTCTCCCTTGCGATCGACTGTGGAAACGGAATCGTCGGGACCGAGCTTGACCTTGACGTAGCGCTTATGGTTGCGGTGTAGCCACTCCTTTACCTCTGAAAGGCAAAGAACTCATCGATTATCGTCCATTACTCGATTCCGGTATGATAGAGAAGTACTCACGCAATTTGTCACAAGTTTTGCCCGCCTCGTCCCTCTTCAGCTTTATCTTCCTTCTCCTCTTGTTCTGTAGTTTGATTACGCCGTAACCCAGACCAGCGCAGACTGAAACCATCGTTAATCAAATTAAAATAATAAAAAGCCAGAGAACGAGGCATGAGAGAAAGACTTACTGATAGGAACGAAGGTAAGTGCCAAGCACGAGTATATGTAAGCCACTTCATTTCCGTGGAAGTAATCGTATCCTTCGATTGCCGAACAGGGCTCCAGCATCGACCCGTTCAGTTGAACCTTCTGAGGACACGGATCGCCTGAGACAGAAAAAAAGTGTTATGGCTCGGCCTTTGTCGACAGATGACAGTTTCTCACCTTCTTTCCACGAAAACATGTTCTTCTGAACGTGACCGGCACCGATGGAAGTCGATTCGATGACCACATCGTAAATTGTAGTTTTCTTGATTCGCTTTATTTCTTCTTTGGTGAAAAAACTGGAAAGAAGAATCTCTATATTACTAAGAACTCCCGTCGTCGACAAATCTAATTAAACTAACTGTTTCGGAAATCCTTATCCTATGCTTTTGACATTCTGTTAAGAATGTGTTTTTCTTAAGTGGTGGAATGAGACTATAAGAACCGATTATATTTGCTAATTCGATACACAGTATCAAGAGTTTTCCTACAGATAAGTAGATAGTAGTTTGCAATTCTATAGGACTATATTAAAATCGAATGAAATAAAATATTCGAGACTAAAAATGTCTCTCTCTAGTGGTTAACAAAACGCTACGCGATTAGTCGGCCAATTTCTTACTTTCAACGTTTTGTGAAGAAGAAATTATTTTCCAAAACTAGAAAAATCACCGAAATTCGAACATCTTTCGATGGAATCTCGTATTTTGAGGGTGGAAAGGGAATTAAAAAGTCTTACCCGTTGCCAGTATTCTCGAACCAGAAACGATCCGAGTCTCGCAAACGTCGAAACTGTTCTTTGATGATGGTGCGAAAGAGAATCCCGGGTCTTCCGTCCACTTCAGTTTCCAACATCCCTCCGACATACAGATCCAAGTCGTCGGGACTTTCGCCGTATTTATCCTTCAGGATTTTCACCATCTGAAAAAAAAACTCTTTCTAGTCCGAATCCGGCTATCCATTAAGATTCCCACCAAAATAATTACCTCGGGCTTTTTCGAAAAGAGTTGAGGGTTAATGTCTGACCAGTTCGTTATTCGAGGCAAGTGGAAACTGGAACGGACCGTGTTGTAGTCGGGCAGACCGTTGTCTCGACCTCTCATAATGTTAAGTGCAGCCAGATCCCTACGAGAGAATTCCATGGGCCCGAAGAGTTGATCTGTAAAGAGAATAAAACTGATCAACTTGCGCGGAAAAAACAGCAAAACACAGTTTTTGGGGGGACTTTTACCTCTGACATCGTCACAGAGAACGTTATCTTCTCTTTCTGCTATCTGAGAAGCTAAACCCATTATTAGTTCTTCGATTCCCGATTCCAGTAGCACTTCCTATGCGTTCAAACAAAAGATATTAATTAAAAACTAGAAAAATATACGATAAAGAATAGTTGAAAAAAAATGACTTACTTCCGAATTCCACCAAGTAGCGCATAGTCTCACGGCCGGGTATCCGTTGGCAGTTGATTTGAAATTGCAGGCTTTATCTCTGTGCGAATTAAATATATGAGCGATATGACATGTGACCGATATTTGACGTAATATATCTTACCTGCGATATATTCCGGGGGGTATCATAGTGTGGCCGAAGCGGAAGGCGGCGGACTGGAACACGTGGTTTACTCCGGGATGAATATCCGGGTTGTATCCTGAGTTTAAAAAATTCAAATGATTGTTTTTGCGGTTTGGTTTAAAACGTTCGTTCAGACAATAAAACGATAAATACCTGAATACGCTTCCATCTCTTCTCCTAGCAACATGGGTAGATATTCGTACATAATTATGTTCTGAAAAATTCGGATATTTTACAAATAGGAATGAAATAATTTAACTTAACAAGGAAGAACACAACTAAAACCTGAAGGGTTGCGACGACCCAGCTTCTAGACTTCTGGAAAACCTCTTCGTCCGACCAGCGTGGATTCTGACGTTGGAAACGACGAGCCAAAACGTTGTGCCAACGAAAAAAGAGAACGGCGAATGCCAAGAGAGACGGATTCTGATTGGTCCTGGGATCGCCCAACACTTAAAACGGTGGTTTGAATGAGAAAGATGTGTCGCGTATAGGATAAAAGAGAAAGCGTTTGCTTACCGAACATTCTTTCGGGATCGAGCATTCCCAGATACCGAGAGGTGGGATAGTTGATCAGAGGAACCCTATCTTTATTCCTAGCGGGAAAGAGACCCGAAGAATCCGTTCGCAGAGTCCCGTTACGAAAACTTCTCATGTGATCGACCCAAGCTTCACTGGTACTATACACGAAACTTCCATCTATCCAACTAGTCACCAGATTCATCTGCAAATTAGGCCGCAATTATTTCTTACACCGAGAATCGAGTAAGAATTTTAAGCCTAGTTCATAATGACAAAAATTCCAGCTGAAAACTCGAAGGAAAATCGAGTGGAGTATTATTTAATGGATAAAAATCGAGAGCAGGCTGAAACAGAGTCGATATCTGACACAAAATGAGTTTAAAGGAATTTCATTCTCGGGAAATATCGCGACGTCAACAAGTCGATAAATTAATATACTGTACTGTACTGTACTGTACTGTACTGTACTGTACATGGATGTTCATATATTAAATTTCCGAAAAGCTCGCTAAAAAAGAAATCAAACAGTACTAGGACTGATTAAAAATTATTCGACCTAAGGTCAGGAAAAAAACACCTACGTATCCGTTAGATTCAAACACTAATCCCCTTAATCCCCTCTGAATCCTGATATCTCTTCCTTGTAAGTGGAATCTTGAGTTGGGAAAGAGCCAAAAGTCGGCCGGAGCCATGTCTGGAGAGTAAGGAAGCTGCTGAGCAATACAGTGTTCGCAAGGAATGTCTGGATGAGATAGGATATGTGGGCCGGAACATTGACATGATAATGAACCAGTCACCAGACTACCAGAGCTGTGGTCTCTTGCACCTTACCCTTACAGCATCTTATACGTAACATAAAACAGTCTGTCAGTACTCTTTTGTCACAGTCTGTAAATGAGGGGCGTACTCATAAACTAGGCCCTGATGTCGAAAAAAACGATCAACGTGACCTTCACATTACTGCGTGACTGACGTACAGTACCTGCTTCGGCCTGGAGATCACGGCATTTTCCACCGAGGTGATTGTGCTTTTGTCTCAGGTACCTGCAGACCCAGGTCTCACTTCTGGTTACAATTTTTATGATCAGGATCCATCACGTTTTGCCATTTTCACTTAATCACTAATGCGACGATAACAACGTAAACACGCACTTATCAGGCTGCCTGACAGTGGCTGCAGGGTAGGACCGGCTCGCCAAAATTCACAAACACGCAGTAGGGTCCAAGGTCACATGACGACATAGTCTCCTTAGCTTGTAAATACTGTACTTACAAAGAAAAAAATGAAGGTCGGATACTTTTTGATCAGACCTTGTATATGTAATATATAGCCCTAAATACATGTAGCAAAATTCCATAAAATAAGACTTGAATCGGCTAATATAGAATTAATTTATAGTTTATCAATTTTTTATATAATTTTTCACCGAGCTATTTAACGCACATGGCAAAATTTAAAGCTTGAGGATTACGTTTAAAATAGATAGGGCATTCTGTATTGTTATATTTCAGGAAATATTAAATTTTTTTCATTTACATAAAAGTACGAAAGTAACGTTTTCTCACGAATACAAGACAAATGATATTTTAACAACAATTTTAATAAATTTACATTCGCCTATATTATATTCATTTCGACAATCATATAATATATAAATATCACCGGCAAATGCAGTTAAATAACCCTCGAATTTTTCTCCCATTAAGCTATTAATATAAATAAAAAAACAAGGAAGGGTCCAAAAGTAATCTCGGGCAAAAATTTCTATCGGTAACATTTCACTTAATTTATCATACCGGTATATAATAATCAAAATAAGATCTAAAGGAAGTTCAACTGTTTTTCATCGGTACTTGTCGTTGCTAATTTATTTATCATTCATTACATTATGATTAATTAAATAATTAAATCAAAAACCTTCACAATAAGCTTATCATTTAATTAAAAGAATGGTCGTAAATAAAATCTATAACGTTGACCAATGCTTACATTCCTTTATATTTTAAAAATCCTATGGTATTCAAATAATTAACTAATCTTACTTTCATTAGCTTCTCCAAGATCACAATTACTGTACTAACTTTTTTTTCCAGATTTGTGGAAATAGTGTTGTAGTCACCTCGCGAGGATGGGAAACGAACGAATTTAAAGCAAAGTGTATAACCTAAGTTTCAACAACATCAGACTACAGAGGAGACCAAGGAAGAGATGAAGAGATCAGATCAAGGAAGACATAATAAAAAGGGAAGAGGACTGGGAATGGGTTTTGTTAGAGGAGACCGAAGAATGATAGGAAGGAATGGAGATGATTTGCCGTTTTGACCCAGTAAAAGTATGTTGGTACAGGCAAAGCATGATGATGATGCCGTAGTCACTACCTGCATCATTTCGCATTTCGCAACATCTATTAATTCTATAATATCGACAGAAAACAAATCAGATAATAACGCGGAACCTCGGATAATCGAAGTTTTACTGTTTTTCCAAATCCTCCATCCATGAAAATTCGAATCTTATTTACATATAACATTACAGTCAGATTCGTTTAACTCTTGAATTGAAAAAATGTTGAAATCAGGCACAATGTACTGTACAGTACATACAACTTTTATTTTCCGATATCCAGTTCTTCCAATAATAAGATTACCTTGAAAATTTAAGATTCGAATCTTAATCTTGGAGCAAGCCAGTCTGTTTGACCTCTATGAGTAAGTCAAATTATCTCGTTGTAGCCAGAGCAATGTGTAAAAGCAATTCATTTTCTAGAAAATTCAACCAACTCTCAAAAGAAACGACAGTATTAATTATCATTATAGACAATTCGGACGGAGATGGTTTAAGTAATATACGTAAGAAATAGATACGATGTACTGTACTGTACGTCAACGAAGTATTAACTTATTTTTAACACGTAGAACAATATACAGGGTGAACTTTAGAAAAGAGTAACTAAAGGATACTTCAGTTAAATTTCAATTAAATAACTTATCAGAATAAATATGAAGTCGTCAGGCAGAAAATTAATCCAGATCACTTTCGTCTATTGTAACGGTTGTTCTTAATTAAATACAGCAATTAGTTGGAAGACATCGAAGTCCATTATATTTCGAAATTTTAAGTTTTCATTTACGTTTAACACCAAACGAATGAAATACTTTTAAAAAATGCGAAGCGTTACGAAGATTCGAAGTAAAATGTATAACGAAAGTTCATTATTTTTGAACAGAATGTGGCTATATCCAATCTAGGCTTTCCTCTTCCTGAAATGACTACTATAAATCATTGGGCTCGATTTCGCGTCGACTTTCCTCCTCACCTGACCGGTTACGTTAGGCAACGTACTTGAGACTGCCGGAGGACACCATTCGACCTTCACAGGACGACGACCGTCTCCTAAAGAAAACTTTCGCCCGGCCGTCCTTCAAACGTAGAAAGTTTATCACGGCATTAAAGAGGCACAGGGACATCGATCCGGGTAAAAGTCTATTAATTAAGATGGGGGAGTTCAGAAGGAATTGGAAAAAAAATACGCACCTGTTGTCGAGGATTGTTAGGAGACTGTCCAGTCTCGGGGTCATACAAGGACCTATAGAAAGGCATGGCTCGGTCGCCCGAACACTTCCTGTCGTAGGTCCTGTCGCACTTCTCTACCGGAACCGAGTGCATCTCTATAGGACATCCGGGTTCGCTGGCCATCAAGATTTCCGACGACACCACCTGACCTACATCACACACACACCAATTACCAGTGCCGGGACCGGAGAAGAAGTAAAAGGCTAAGGCGCTTACCGAAAAAGGCAAAGAAGGCTGTCAGATTGCGGACCGAGGGCAAACCGTCCTCTCCTTTCATCAGGCGTCCGCTGATCCAACGAGGATTAGGTCTGTTTCTTCCTGCCATCTGATATACTCCGTCGGCGTAGGAGGGTGGCGTCCTTCTGCTCAGCCGACTCTCTTCAACCCATACAAATAATAAATTGACCTCTCATTACCATCACGGATCATCACGCGCCACGCGCCGCTCGTTCCCGCCGGTAGCGTTACGCCCGTAGTCCCGTCTGTAGACGGCCACTCGATGGCATCCGAGTGGAGCGTTAATCTCGTTGTCGACGAAAGATCAGGAAAGGCGAGGATATTCTCTCGACCAACGGAAACGAAAGAACAAAGGTCGAAAGGTCCAGGCCACTTCCGGAAACGGAAATCATACCGTTTCTTCCCACAGACCGAGACGGGTGAAAAGGGCAATCATGCGCGTCCGAGGATTCCGGCAAGTAATCAGCGGCAGCAGCAGCGCCAAATCCAACCTACCTGCAGTTCCCCAGTCGGGATGGGCCAGGTTGTTGTACCACCCGTCATATCTGCGCTTCTCCCAGTTCGCATGGGTAGAGCTCCGACCTGCAAGAACGCCTTCTTTAAGATCCGTCGAACACACATTAAATTTAAAAAGGGCATTTCTACCTGCGACACCTGTGACATCTTTCGGAGTATATTTCTACCTTCGTCCTGGCATCGAAGGTAGAAATATACTCCGAAATTTTCCTAGATCATAAAAAATGGGAGAATTAGGGGAATACACGAAGAACCCGAAGCACGGCTAAAATTCGATTGCAAGCGCATCGAACGAACCAAAAGATTTTCGAGAGGATTTCTCCGAAAAGAGGAGGAAGAGGAGGAAACAGTTAGACAATCTTTAAGCGTTCGATTTTTCCGGACGTCCTTTCCATCTCGGTGTCTCGATAAAACCATTTTTAAAATATTTATATAAGTTATTTTTAAACGGGTCCTAATCGTTTCGATGTAAAATGACATTCCCAAGTTACGGGAAATGTCATCCCCTTGCCATGTCAACAACGATTTGTGTGTGTAGTAGAAAGTGTCCATCTCGGTGGCTCCCACACACATTTTTTTACCATAATTTTCAAAGTAACTTGGCTTTTTCCGTCAGGAATTGAAGTTTCGCGACATCGAAGTCTGCGTTTTTAGTCGATCTGTTGCACATTTAACAAATTGTTCGTGTGATTCAGTTTATGGGTCAACTTTTCTTATGGTTATTGGCTTTCATAAAATGCACGTTTTAATAGGTAGAAGCTTTTTTATCAATTTGCTTATATCGTTTTTTCCTCTTCCATTTTTCTGGCTTCCTAAACTTTGCTCCTCCTGCGTCTTTTCCTCACACCATTAGATCCACTACCACTTATTTCGCGTGCAAAATTGACAAAACTCTGCCAGTTTTGCAATTTAATTTTCTAGATTTTCCCGGCGTTTTTAATAGAAATTTCGCCATAAAGTGCAGTTAAGTTCCGAGGGATTAGTCGCCACGCGTTCCTGAGGTCCATTTCGCGTTACCACGTAACGCGAAATGGGAGCGTTTAAAGAGACGTGTATTTCGTAAATTTAAATTTAAATCTCGGGATGAAGTCCGTCCGTACGAACTCAGCCGAAGAATTTGGAAACTTTACGGTCGGCGCCCCGTTCACCCCCTCCAGAAACGGGTGTGCGGGTGGTTGGGACCGGTATGGACGCGACCTTCGTTCCTACAAAGTGGTCGACCTCTTTTCCGAGAGTCGGACCTCGGCGACCGGCGTCGACCAAAGAGGTTAAAAGACCGGTCGCGTCGGTGCGTCGCTCGCTGCGAAACGACGGCGCGCCGCCCGCCGTTGCACTAAAAAATCGGTAATTTTCTTTTCGCCCCGAGCCCCGGCCCAGTTGACCGAAATGGCTTTGGCCGCCGACCGATCTCAGCCGATCTCGACAGCAGCGCCGTACCGTCCCCCTGCATTTTTCCAGCCGCGCTGCTTCGGCGTCGCGCCGAGAACGGGAAGAGTAGGAAGAGAGAAGTTCGACGAACCGGACCCGGGGTCGGTCGATCGCCGTGTTCATCGAACCCGGGAAACGGCACGGCGGAGAATCGGCGCGAATCATCAGCGGCGCGTCGGGGGCGTGGGCGCGGAGGAAAAAGGCTTACCCGTCGACAGGCAGACCAAACACAACACCATAATGGTCCAAGCGTCTGTCTTCATTCCGATCGTCTTCGTCAGGCGTCGAGCTTCGCTCCTGGTCTTGCGGTTCCCGGCTGGCCCGACCGGGCTTTGGCGGCCGTCGAATCCGGTCGCGACGCCCGACCGCGTGACGTCGCAGTCACGCGCCGACCGGGTAAACTTTTAATTGGCGAATGAGATTTGCTGGCGGAGCGCCGTCGATCGACGCTCGAATGCGCGGCGGCATCTCCGTTCTTTACGGTTTTTCCGTCGTTTTCCAAGCATTTGCCTCTCCATATGTCAATTCTTCCCTCGCAAATGAGCGTCGAAGGTGAAATCCGACTCCCTCTCATTATATCGTGATTTTTAATCGAATCGGAACTTTTCTCTTTCGGTCCCGAGCTTTAAAACAGAGTTTTCCAGTTTCGACGTCGAGTGGCGCCAAAATCGTCATCTTTTGTCGATGTGTCTATCGTCGTAGAACGAAGGAATTCAATAAAAAGCTTTTCATTAAGAAACGGAAGAATTGAGATGGTTTTAAATTTCAATATTTCACTTTGAGAATTGAGATGGTTTTAAGTTTCAATTTTTACAAGAGCTTTGCAATTAATCGCGAATTAATTTCAAAACTCAAAGTAAACGTTGTCAGAATTACTTCAGAAATTGCACGAACAAAAAGTGAAATCGTAGAAACGATCGAACCGCTGCAATAATGAATGTCAAGATTACATCAACGACTTATAACTACTAGACTCCGAATCGGATAAAAGTTAACGTAGAAACTAACGCTGCCGTCTGAAGCCAAAGAAACTAGGCGCTGCCTTAGGCTGTCATGGAGGTCCAAAAAGCTAACATATCGTGTACAGAATGTTGTGCTGACTTATGGTAATTATTTCTGGCGCATTTGTTATTTATTTAGTCTCGAGGATGCGGGAATTGCGACAGGAGTGCCACTGAGTTGCCGTGCAGTTAATTGTACAGCAAGATATAGCCTAAAAAGAGATCCGGTATCACGTTTCACCTGTATGTGATATATATATATATAGCCTATATATGCCTAGTTGCTCTGATAGGCTACTATATCGTCGGTTGGCGATCAAAATCTCGTGTAACTCCTGAAGGAAGTCATTTTCTGGAGAAGCATTAAACTTTTTTCAGGAGTCCTTTATTACCTTATGTTGATTATTTTTATTTATTTATGTATTTAAGTAAGTTTAACTAGGAACCTGCGAGAGTTTTATAGTTAACAGGGAAACGTGTTTCGTTATCCAATAATTCTGTAATTTAAATATGAGCAAATATTGGAGTTACGAGGTTTTGATCGCCGACTTATGATATGGAATCTTTTTTTTTTTGTACGTAAAACGATGACACGACGGGTGTTTCCTAAAAGCACTACTTCGTTCGGTAGTTGAGAGCGATACGCCGCCGTGACAAATGGAAATCGAACAATAGTAGTGTTCTTTGTAACGACACTTTAAACCTGACTGTTTCTACACACAGAACGGATACACCTATTTTCATAAAACATCGGAGTCGTTATTCTCGATGGCAATTTATAATCACGTTTTGTTCCGAATTATGGATTTTATCATTATAATTAACCAGAAACTTATAAATATATTTTATACATTATCACAATTTTTACATACACATCTTAGAAATGATTAATGAACATGGGTTAAACGCTCTTAACGAAAGCGTGACAATATTTGTCTTATTTTATTTAAATGTTTATAATAGTTTGGGCAAACTTATCTTTTCTATCTTGCATAATATCTCGTATTTGTGAAAACTTATCATTTTAATTTACATTTAAAATCAAGTACGACAGTTAATAATAGCTCGATAAAAATAACGAAACGATACCGCCAGATTTTTAATTTGGCTGTAATGTGGCAATTAAGTATAAAGATATTACATAATTTGGACTAAAGGTAAGCAATTATGTTGCTATCTTTTTGTACTAAATATAATACAGTAATTAAAAATAAATTAATTAATTTAGAATATTCTACAAGAATAAATCGATCCGTATTTTCACGATAAACAGAATTGAAGGTTCGAGTACCGTTTCGGATCGACTTTTTCTTCCAGAATATTCCAAATTAATTAATTTATTTTTATATATTTTTAAATTTAATAAAAGATGGCAATTTAACCGCTTATCTTTAGTTCAAATTACATTATATGTTTATCATTAATTAACCATATTATAATCCAATCAAAAATCCAGTGATATTGTTGATTGGCAATCTTATTTTTGGAGTTTGTAGACGTGATAATTCCTAGAAAATAACGGTGTTTGAACCGGTTAAATATTGAAATTTATCCAGTGATAAGTTATTGTTTAATTGTTGTGATTTTATTATGAAATCGTTTCACTCATTATTGCAATGTTTTTCAACCTTTTTCTAATAGTGGCACCCTAACTTGGTATTTTTTTCGTATGGCATACGTACTTCTTCATTTACTTTAATACATATTATAAATAATAAGATTAAATTGTGTAGCCTACAGTATTTTCAATAAAACGATTACAAAGGTATTAAATAATTTAGAGTTGTATTTACATATCAATATAAAATAACTTTTAAAAAGACATGTACAGCTTTCTGGTGGTTGCTCATCATCATATTTCGCAGAATCTTGCACTTCTGAAGTGTCATTCGGCACTCTAATGGCCGCTTCATTCCGGTTAAAAATCTCTCCCTTTCTACGATTTCGCTTCTCAACGTGCAACTTTTGCAAAAATATTTCACTGCCATCGCTGTATGTCTTTTGAAATTTGTTTATTTCCCATGTGAGATGGAGAGTTTTTTACATCTCATCTTTTTACGAATATAATTTAAAGATCATTATATTACAAAATAATTTTTGATGGCCATCTTCAGTATATCAATAATTAGCATAAACGCAAAATTAAAGTAACGATTTTTCTAACAAGTAAGCACACAATTATTTATAATTATTATAAATTCCATAGTTTGCAAATGCAGTATAGTCCTTTTATTAGACCTTAACGTAAAATACTGCAACGAAGTGTAAATATTTCCACTTCTGTCACCAATTGAGAAAAGTGATAATATTCCACGAGATACCAAAGGAGAGTTCGTCGTCGCTATTTATAAAACGAAAAAGACGGCAAATCGAAGGAAGGTTCACCAGTGGCCAAACGGTTCCGTTTCCTAAACACTAGGAATTCGGTTGGGGATTCACGCCTCGCTAGGGAGGGCTGGCCACGTGGAATTTTCCGGATTTTTTCCACGCCTCTAACGCCCGAATAGGGGTCAGTTACCCTTAAAAGACTCCCAGAAGACATTATTTTCTGCTCCCGGCGGATACCCAAGCAGTAAGCTTTGGAAGCTTCGGCTGGCTCATCGGATATTAATGTCGCTCTATCGGAGGAATAAAGCCGAAAAGATTAATACCCACTGCCGGCCCGAGCAAATTCAACGCCCTAGGCAAATGACTTTGACGTCGCCCCATTTAAAAAAAATTCGCAACGATATAAAACATCAATGTAAAATAGAGTACTTGATTTTTATTCAATATGAGCACACAATATCGCAATCGTGAGACTACGGCGCTACTTTCAAAAAGGCGACTCGCGGGTCAACACGTGAGAAAGGATTGTGATAAAAAACATTTATTTTTTCATTATTTATTGTAATTTATGCATGTACTTTTGCCATGCCGCTCCCGAATTCAAGCGCCCTAGGCCATCGCCTAGTTCGACTATATGAACGGGCCGGCGCTGCTAATTCCCCATATGAGGTGAGAAAGACGAAGAAGAATGGAAGGAAGAGATTCCGACCGAACCTTTTTAATATTAGATGCAACGACAATTTTCAGAACACGGAAAAAGGTTTCATGGGAAAACGATGATGTCAAAGAAATGAGGATATTCCATTCGTGAGACTTCAAGCTCGGCTCCCGTGTTTGTTGACAGATAGAAGCGTGGTTAGGCGGAAACGATCGTCTAGATTCGATTCCGTCGTTGGTCTGTTCGAATACGATTTTTTAACAGATGGAGGCGTTCTGGCGGAAAGCCTTCACAGGGAGTGGCTTGCCATCAATTGGCTTGAAGCTTTCTGGAGAGGATGGAAAACTTTTGCGTCATCTACAAAAAGGAAAATTCCGCGCCGAAACGAAGAAGACTTCGAAAGGTCGATCCGAAAATCGGAAACGACCTTGCCACTTTTTTTCATTTAAAGGCCCTAACCCGGAATCGCGCGCAATTTTCAACGCTCTTTTGACTTTCCATCCTCTCCTTACTCGGCTTGGCGCCTGCTTTTAACATTAATGTTTTTCTCTCATCACCTTGGGGTTTTAATACTGTTCATTAGATAACACTATGGGAAAGCACTAACTTTACGTTCACACGTGAAGCGGAAGCTGGAACACGGTCTAATCCGATAAAGGGAATACTCCGACGCGAACGAGTGAAAGAAATCTGTCTATAAAAATCCCATTTCAGAAAAGAAGAGATTACGAGTATACTGTGGATAAAAGACAATTTTATTATTCTTTGATCCGGTTATTTTTTCCATCCGAATTGTCGGAGTTTTTTGCGGAAATTCCTTCGTCAGAGTTCCGAGAAAGAGCCTCTTGTAGGACGTTTTCTTTTTTGGGGATGGGATAAGCAGTCCATCTCCTCTTCTTTCGGCGAAGACTGATTCTCGACGTCCAGATTCCGGCCTTCTCGGGAAATAAAACGTCCAATCGGTCCACCGATGCGAACTTTTGGGTCACCGTCGGAGAAGCTCGGTGTGCACGGTAGCGGGAGCGAAACTGAGTCCGTCGGAAACACCCGGGGGACCCGGAAGGTGTGGCGGCGGCCGAAGACCTCTCGCTGGAACTCCGCTCCTCGCCGCTTCGAAGTTCTTCTACACGATCGCTCGTCGGATTTCCGGAAATCCCGACTGGGACGACGGCTTTAGTCTCGAGTGAAGTAGGAGGATGAGGCATACCTCCTGAAGAATCCGGATGACAGGGCCTGACCGATAGAAGAGGCAGACTTGCCCAGGCGGTGTCGGACAGAAGCGTTTTTTTGGCAGCGGGAACAGCCAATCTTGTTCTCCCTGTTGAAATAGTAGTCGAAATTTAAAATCGACTCTAAAAAAAGAAAAAAAGAAGAAAGCACTTTACCTGTAGCCGGAGTACATGGGGCAGAAAAAGCTGTTCCGGAACGTCCCGCTCTGCCGGAAATGCCACCACCCGCTCGCCCTGTCCAACCAAAGTAAAAAAAAAAAAAATTAGAAAAATTTTACTTTTCGTGTTGTCATCGTCGTCCATCCAACATAGAAATTTACGATCTCGGACTCTCGGAGGAACTTGAGAGTCAATTATCTATCGCTATTACAATGCTTCGGGAGACAGTTTAGCTAGTGTTAATGAGCGCGTTTTCATGTCGCCAATGACACTGTTCGTTTCATATAAAACGAACTGCCATTGGCTTGCTTACTTAGCTGCAACCCAACATACTACATTTTTGAAAGGGATACCATAACTTACAACGCATCGATCTTTCTTGAGACTAACGGATTAATCCAATACTAAAATGAAAAGTTTCATGTGATTATCGGAGAATTTAAATATTGAAAGAAACGATTTTGGAAAGAAAGTCCTTAAAAATTTTTTTAAATGTTCGGGTAATGAAAGATAATTTGTTATTTATTCCAAGCTTGCAATAGCTTTCTAAAATAGTTTCATAACGAAATGGGAGAATATTGTGTTAATAAAAATGTTTTTCTTAAATATATTCGTTAAAACTGTTAATAAATACTTTATTGTTATTTTTTCAGCTAATCGTATAACTAATTTTTCGTTTCTTTAAAATTATTAGTTTTCTTAATAGAGAGTCACGGCAGTGACTCCTCGCCAAGGAAAAAAGTCACGGACTGACTATATAACATAGGAATCACGGTTGTCGTTTTCGGGGTTCGATTTCTTTGCCCCCCAAACACCTAACGTATTTCTGAATATCTCGTTCGAAAGATAATTGTTTTCTTAAGTAGTATGCAAAATTTAATAATTTTCTATAAAGGGGTTAATATAAACAATTAAACAAATATAAGCAATTGAAAAGTGAAAAAATCGCGAAAAAAAGCTGTATTTTCTTTTCTTGATCCGGCACTGCATACGCTCTTAGAGGGGGGAAAGAAACTATTAGGATCAGAAAGCTCAAATTTTAAATTAAAATTTTTCCAGCTATCAGTGAAGTGCTGACAAAACTTCCGAACGATAGGTCAAAGTTCACGAGGGTTTCTATAGAGCTATTTTACTTTTATTGCTTGATTTTATGCTTGTAAAAAAATTGCACTCAAAATGTTATCCAGGATAACAGGAGCTCAAATTTATGGAAATGAAAACTTTTTATAACGATTTTACTAAAGGTGTATTGAAAGCATTCGGTCGGTGCTGTTGCTGAGCGCCGACCGAAGTACTGTACGTCATCGTCTTAGATCTCGATATATTAATAATAATACAATCATTAACCAAAAACAATTGATATCCAAACAATAATATTCAAGATATAAAAATTACATCAAGTAAAACAGATGACAATCAAATTTTTCCAAGAGTTTTTTCTTTGGTAAAGATAAGTTTGGCGTTGAGAAGCTGTACCTACTAGATTTTTACATATATTAATATTCCTTTATGTTTTAATTTCGCTTTGAAGCGTCAAGCTTTATGATATAAAAGTCCTCTTAGTGCCCACAGGGTATAATTAAAAAGTTAGAGCTACAAGTTTATACATCTGTCTACATTGGTAATTGATAATTTGAATTTCATATATTTCAAGTAAGATGATTAAAAGCTTCATAAACTGTGATTTTCAGTTTTAAGGAATGTTTAAATACTTTTTCATTAATATTCTAGTCTATTAAAAGATATTTACAATAGACTTTAACAATGACACTTTATTATTGTAAACTAAACAAAGATTTTAATTGTGAAGCAAAAGTCAGCATCCATAGAACACGACAATGAATCGCAAGAAGATCTTCATAACTGTGATTTTATCATTCCTTATAACAGCAAGCATTTTATGGATGTTCCGTAAAAATTTGAAAATCCGAGGATTTCGTGCCTGCTTCAAGCATAAATTATCCTCTACTGTCTACAAATCTTGTTTGAAGGTAACAAATGGCCAACACAAATGTGAAAAATGGTATCATTTTGGTAAATGCGATCTTCTGGAAGAAACGATGAAATCACTGAATAAAGCCATGGCTTTCGAGTGGATGATGATGAATTTTTCACGGATGAAATCTTTTCTTCGAGAACTATTCCTGAAAGCTAAGAGTTATTGGCATCGAGAAGTTGCTCCCTACGACATTGTTATCAAGTTCTATATATTATTATATTCATTTGATTACGATTTAATATTACAACAAAGAATTTTCATGTTTTTATTGATACGGAGTATGATTTCCGTGTATAATATCTTACAACTATTTATTGTTTAATCAACAATTCACAAGCTTTCGAAATGGCCAAGACATCAATAAAAATCGCCAATATTAAATATACAATATCGGATTTTAATATTTAAAATTTTGTGAACTAATTTGTCTTTATACAAAATTCTGCAACAAATAAAGCAATTGTTTTCTTACGTCAACAAAATAGAAAGTGTTATTTTATTCGTTAGCTCCCTGGAGCAAGTAGAGTCGGTGCACCTCCTTGTTCCTCGGAAGAGGTCTCGCGAAATTTATTTTGAACATTTAATTTAAAAACATATATCTAATTATTTCGATTTAAAACCTTACTTAATAGCAGTTTATTTGAGATTCAACGTATTTCAACAATAAGATAGTCAATTTAATAAATACAAGTATAATAATAAAACAAAATATAATTCTTTAAGTACGGAGTACCTAATAATATTTACTACATATTATATAAACTGTATTGACAAAATGTATGCAAGTTTAGTTTCATAAAAAAAAAACTTTAAAATTGTTATTTTTTTTTTTCGCTTTTTCGTTTGCAAATCAGTCAATCACTCACCAGATCAAGTTGACAAGATATTGCTTTCTCAATTGATATATTAGCCAGAGCTAAGACGATGTTGTGGCATGCTGCTTCTTAAATATTAAATAAGTTTTGATTAATTTTAATTTTGAAAAGCTTCGTTCTGCTATCGCTGTCGTCGCAGGTAAAGTTAAATAAAAAAAAAAGGCATGCTGCAATAATGTCGGAGAAGCAACTTGAGGCTACGGTGTGAATTAAAAGTAGTCCAGAAACTTTGCTATGGAAGTAATTCTTTTTACCTGAATATTAAAACACATTTTAAATCGAAGCACTTGAGGTCCAAAACTAAGCGAAATGTCGGAGGGATATGCCGATTGTAACAATTCTGATCCTTCCAGCATATTTTTATCAGATGACGCGACAAGATATGCAGGTGATAAGCGCTTAAAAAGTGTACATAATTGTCGAACGGATTGAAATCTAATAGTTAATTGATTAATTATTAAATCCAAACATTTTTTTATAAATGTTTTTTTCGCCGTTTCCGACTTGGCGCCCTCATGATTCGCGCGCCAGGAGCAGTTTGTTTCAACTGCTCCATGATAGCTACGCCTCTGATCAAGACCCAAGACGATGACATAGTGTACAGTTCGGTCGGCACTCGGAGACACCACTGCCGCCGACCGAACGCTTTCGATACGCCACTAGTAAAATCGTTATAAATGTTTAATTTGCATAAATTTGAACTTTTGTTATTCTTGATACCATTTTGAATGCAATTGTATTATTACAAGAATAAAATTAAGCGATAAAAGTAAAATAGCGCTATGTAAAACCCTCGTGAACTTTGGCCTAGCGACCTCTTTTCATTTCTTTTCCGGAAGTTTCGCCAGCACCAATCGACCCAAACTATGGTGAAACCCCTTTATTGCGACCGAGAAAAAGCTCTCTTTTAGAGAGAGTTTTACTGCATATAATTATATATATATATGTATATTAACTCTCTGCATAATATGCCTGGAAAGAAATCTGGTTTTAAGCTCTAATTTCAATAAATGATGTAAAATGTCCGTCTATTAATTGTTATAATTTTGCACCGATTAGAAAATATTCGATAAATAAATAAAATATAACAAATTAATATAAAATAAAGACAAAGACAATTGGTCTTAAGCAATTATATGGGCTATTTTATTTTAGATTTATTTTTTCAAATAATTTTCAAAAATGTTTTAAATCGAACAAACAAGAGATTAAAAATTTCTCTTAGAAATTTGTTGTTAGAAAAAAATCCATTAACAAATTACGTATCTTTCACGGCTGCTCTGAGAGTTTATTTAAAAAGCTACTTTTATATTAATCACAATAAATAAATAAAACTGTGTGTGACACCATCTGTTATGATATTTTATTTAAAAAATAAAAAATATTTTTTATTTTTTATTATTACAAAATGGCAAAAAGCTTAATTTTGAGGGTAGGGATGGGTTCTATAAAATATTGTAAATGCTAATAACGAGTAAAATCGTTATTAAGTCCGACCCCACTCTAGATATGACACACGACTCTTCCTTGGCAGATAGTTTGGCGTAAGAGTGCGACTATTGCAGACGCGAGCGAGCGAGAATATGTGGCGAGAAGAGTTGGTGACGTTTCTCGTTCTCGTTAGGTACTACAGTACGACTACACCACCACCAGTGAACGGGAGAAAGTAGCGTGTTGATGATGAAGTCACATGTTTAAGTCGAACTAGTCGTGAATTATTGCACTATATATGAGTAAAAATCAAAATGGTTGGACTACGACACTTACTACTAGCAAAGAAAAATTTTTGTTATTGGGATTATTTCTTAATGAATGCATAAAAAAAAAACAAAATTACGTTGTTCCTCCTCTGGAAACAGCGAAAGAATAAAGAACTTTATTATAATTTGTTAATAAAACAGAATTTATATGGCTTTATGAATATCTATAGTTTAAAAAAATTCTTTTTATAGCTTATATACAGTAGACGATAAATATGAGAAGCCATCTTCTACTCGTGCCAAGGCCTATGCGCAATATTCAGCGAGAAGAGGCGAGACGCAATAAATATCAAACCCTGTCAAATATTTATGAGAACCAGAAATTCGTTCTCGCCGACGAGATTTCTCGCTTCTCGCTTGTGCATAATTTTCCTTGGCGAGAACTATATCGCTCGCTACTATATTTGCGTCTGCATAGTCACACCCTAAGGTGAATGTTCGGCATTCAAAGAATAGCGAATATTCACTGTAGTATCGACAATTGAGGTAAAAAAGGAACTTATCACGAAGCACGAAAGCGGTACACATGCGATGGATCTGTTTAAGATGTCGAATTCGACTGTGCGTGACCAGTAAATGCAATTTTTATTTTATTATACAGTATTTAAGTACTTTATTTATTGTTTTTGTTTTAATTTATTATTTAGGGCATTTTATATGTTAAATTACGCGTATTTGCTGTTTTGAGTTTATGGCAATGGGTATTATTTAGGATCGAGTAATGGATTAATTCACTTTCCACTATTTTTAATAGGGGATATTGTTGCTCCTCCTGTTTTTTCGCTTTAGATAATCATGTTTCTGGTTTTGTTTCCTTGTTTTCACAATATCTTAGACGAAGTTAAAGAAAAAGCTAGTTATATTTCGTCTTATATTGTATGATTGTATACTGTACTGTACAGTACAGTACGGTACTTGGAATTACTGATACAGTCAATTAAAAAAAAGGGCGAACAAATAAACGAGCACTTATTTATTGTGGCATCGTCACAATGCCGGGTTGCAATTTTTAATCATATTTTTAATTTATTTCATTTAAAATATATGCTCTCCACCTCAAATTAGTAGTATGCCCGTGTACAGTACATCATACTTTTTCTGTTAGCAACATAGCTGGTCATCTATCTAACTCCTTTCAGAGGAAAATTTTTGAATTGAAATAACGTTAATATATTAATAGTTAATCGAGGCCTCCTACGTCTATTCTTTCTATATCTGGTCACGACTTTCATCTAATTCCGTTTTCTCGAGATTAATGAAGGACAGCCAGGTAGACAAACGAATGGACGTCAGTGGAAATTTATAGGTCTACAATATTTTCAAATTGCAGCACAAAAAGATTAAAGAAAAAGAAAAAACTATCGTAGAGATATACCAACAAAAAAGAGAAATCTCAAAAATTGCAAGGATAGACAGATGGGAGGATTTGCTTCGTTCCCTATGGAATCGACTAAATTTAAGTCGAACAAAGTTCCAACGTATCGTCCAGAATACTTTTCCTTAAATTATTAGTAATTTAAAATTCTCAAATGGAGTTGGTTATTGGGCTGCGATTTGAAAAAACTGTAGACCTATAAATTCCCATTTTCATCCGCCTGTCCGTCTGTCAGTTCTCCCTTAATCTCGAGAACGAGTTAGATAGATGAAAGTCAAGATCAGATATGAAAAATCTTACGGGCAGAAGATACCAATTAACTATATAAGAATTTCCGATGCAAACAAGAAGTCACGTTATTTCAATCCAAATATTTTCTCCCGAAAGGAGTTAGACAGATGAGCGACACGACTCTATTGCTAGCAGGAAAATGTTGTATACAGGGACAATGAGACGACGGCAGGAATTTACTAACGTTTTTCAATTTAGGAGGCGGAGGGCGGAACTCCACAAAGGCGTTTTCCATTAGCGAAGCCATCTGAGGCCTATGGAGAGAGCCTCGTTCATTCGAAATTTCATCCACAAAGGTTGTGTACGTAGGTCTATATAGATATGTGTTACTTAATTGACGTCACCGTTTCAAAATAATTTCCCTCGGTCGACACGGGATGCATATTTCTTATTAAAATTCCTCACCAGACTCATTACGCTATTTATAATTAAAATTTACTGGACCTAATTAATTATGAACTGTGTCAATTTGCTGTAATTGACAAGTTCGTAATTATTACGGACTGTGTCAAATATTTATTTTCTTAACTCTGAAATGTAACGTAAATATGGTTACGGGTCAATAAAGATTTGTATTTGTGTTGTAAGGTGACAGATTTCGACAAATGAAAGCATTTCCGTCTTTTCACTTTCGCCACTCTTCCCTAATGTAACGGCTCGGTTTCTTTGCACGGCTTTAGGATCATTCGAAAGCCTCGTAATATTATTAAATCACTTCATTAATAACATTTTATCATTTGGAGGTGGGTGGAGATGATCATCCATAATCCGAGCCAGAACGGTCCGGAATGAACCGGAAGTTAACTGCGATGACCTATCTGGTGTCCGGGATTCTTAGCCACCAGCAGAAGGCGGCAGCTTGGGCATAAAGATCAACACTAAATCGAGAGGCGACCATCCCACACATTAAGAGTAAACACAACCCCCACAGGGGCGTGTCTTCAGCCATTTCTCAGTAGACAGATAGTTGTCGCTACTAAATATCATTTCATTTGGTTTATGAACTCGTAAATGACATAGATTTGAAAATTGATCAAGTGAACGGGGCGACTCCCGTATTAATTAAGTGTAATGTCATTTATTAGATATTTCCGTCATCAAATCGCCAATTCAATTTTAACAGCAAAGAATTGGGAATCCGATGTGAAAAATAAAATTATTTTCGTTGTTTATAAATGAAAACGGTAAAAGAAAGAGCTTTAAGTATTTTGGAATTTTAAGAGTAAATTTATTATTAAACAGTAAATACATTCGTTTTATGTAGACTCCAATCTCGCAGGAGATTAGCCTTAAAAGAGGAACGGTATAGAAGACAGAGAATCTAAATAAAAAATTTTAATTGTTTTATAAATGGTATAACATTGATTCCTTAAAGGATCGAACACCAATGTAGGTTCTATGTAAAAGTTGCATAAATTGGTTTATTAAGGTTACAGACGATTTCATTAATGCTATACTTTAATTTAGAACCGTATATGATATTTCTGTTTTAATGTAGTGTACAGCACACAGCGAGGAAAGAAACTGTAACGTATGTATGCTAAAGACAAATAAAAAAAACATATAAAAATAAAAAAAAACAAATATAAAGCAAGCAAGATACTTGCACCGGGTTATATTTGTATTGACATGTTTTATCATATGTATGCACTGTATCGTACAGTACATAATTTCTGAAACCTCAGCATCGTTAAACTTAGCAGGACCTTCTACTGTATACGTGAAGCATGCGTTCATTTTATTTAATTAGTATAGATTTTATGGGTGCTTTGCTAGGACTGCTGTAGGGAATTTCTAACACCTCCTAGGTGTTCTAGACTAAAAATGGCTTATTAAAATTAAGTAGGAAATACAAAGGTTTAACGAGTAAGATCTATTGGTTGTATCTTAGCGTAGTTTGATTCGTGGTTCATTCCGTGGCTTCGAGAATAAGGACATTTCTGGAAAAACTGGGCTTTTAACAAAAATGCGCTTTTGTTGGGGGATCTAGCAATTAATTCAATGTTGGCAAGGTCAAGTTTAAATCATTCCAAATCGTTTGTCTAAGCATTTATTGTTTTTTCGAAATGACTAATTGTAGCTAAAGCATTTTTTGAAGATACTTGATGATTTCTAATCGAAAGAAGCTGAATCCAAACTGTCCCATCATTATGCTATTAACACTAATAGGAAGATTTTATTAGTCTTCGTATAATCGTATTTATGAAAAATTAAAACATATAGGTTATATTGAAAATAACTACAAATTTACACGGTAAAACAAGATGAACACTAGAAATTAAATAATTTAGTCGTTACACATCAGAGAAACAAAAAAAGTATTTTTTATTTGTTATAATACACTACCTCGCTATAATAAAGCCCACGTCCAGTATGTCTAACATCGTTAATAAATACTGCTAATGACATGACAAAATTTTTAATTCTTTCGCTTCAATTTTTAACAGTCACGAACCTTAGCAAGTAACTTACGTTTAAAAGTTTCTACCTCATTCCAAAAGAAACAAAAATCCAGCCACCTCTATATATTCCCACTCTTTCGACCTTTAACCATCAAAATTTACTAGCATCAATCCCCCTAATACACAAACCTCTCTGCAAAATTTCAGAAATTTTCAACAAAAGACACAGCAGTTATCAAGCTCCAAAGTGGATAAACAAAGTCTTGGCCCCCCACATACAGGAAAAACAACCTTTTTTTTTTTTCTCTCGACTTTTCAAGGTCCACTGAGTCCAAAAGTGTAAATGATTTTCTTTCAAGAAGGACAAAACATTCGATTTATATCAACTAACTAATTAATTAATTCGCTACATTCATAGACTTTAAACAGATTACTTTTTACTTATACTAGCTTCCTTCCTTTATCATCATGAAACTAAATAATAAACAAGTGTAACTCCAACTGTATTATAAAACGTTATGGCTTCCAAATATTACATACAACTTAAAGAAGTATCCTCTCGTCGCACAAGGATTTAGCTATTTCAATATAACGACTGTTCAAACAAATCTATTCTTACAGAAATACAATTGTTTTATATAAGAGTAATTGTAATTCGCAAATACAAAGGAAAAAAAAACCTGTCCTGACTCCTGGTTGTGGGAGTCCTTAATTTGGCTTCGACTCCTAGGTTTATTTCAATTTCTACCTCTTCCAACTCTTTTGGCCTTTTATCCTGTGGGGCCTTCGAGAGCTTGACAGGAGAATAGTAGTTGAGTCGGCCCATTCTTGTCACTTTTCCAACAAATGAAATTCGTAGAATGTTTCTTTATTAATAAAACACAATCCTATAAATTTTACTTTTTTGTTAGTAAAATTAACATCAATTTATACGAATAGGAGTCACTATGGGCCCTTCAGTTTCCGTGCACGGGAAAAAATTCCCAGTTCTCTCCTCTTTTTCGACGTCCCTGACCCTCGGTCGTCGTTAAAACTCAGTTTTCTAACCGGAAGTCTACACGGAAATATTATTCAAATTAGGTTCGGGCGTCGTTCAAAGTGCCAAAAGAAAGTTACTAGACCGTAACACGAACTCTTATCCGGGTCGAAACAGAACTTGGGCCGAATAATTGCGATAGAAAAAACAGTTCGGTCGGAAACAACGCCGGTATCACTTAATTAAGTTACTTTTAAAGAAGAGTCGTCCGATTGCTCCCCCCAAACCGGCTATAGCGGGTCATTCTGGTGACGCAAAAGGAAAAAAACCACTTACCGTTATCCACTGGGACGTATTCGCACATGATTTCGCGGTATCCCTGTCTAAAAGAGGGACTGCGGAGGGCATAGATGACAGGGTTGCAGGCGGAATTCAAGTAACCACACCAATAAGCCTATGGAGAAAAATACTATTTAGTAATTTACATTTAATTACATTTCCCGATGTTAGCTGAGGAATAAAAGTCTCCGAAGTCCGCTTGGCAAAATAATTAGGAAAATAACGGAGAAATTTCCCGTGGGATGCCGATAGAGGCGGGTTACCTTTCTCTAGCCAGCTTCCAACGCGAGCTTACTCTCGAGAGAGCGGGAACGTCATCCGTTTTCCCGCCTCCATGTTTAGTTACGCCTCTAATAAATCAAATAGGTTCTCCTGATGAAATTTTCCTCTTAGTTTTATGCGTAACGCCACCAATTTTCCTCATTTCGACTGTTTTTTTAACACGTTAAAGAATAGCTCGATTGAAATTCCATTATTTGTGTTAAACCAGAATCCGGAATCGGTCCGAAAACGCGCGTGTCTCTATCGTGTTCCTACCCTAACGTTTTTACCGGAAGTCGACGCATAGGTTAATTAAGGCGCGCCTGACACGTTGCCAGTCTCTCTGAAGGAAACGTTAGTGGTTTCGTATTAAGAGCATACTAATCGAAGAGGTGGCTATAATTTAAGGTGTTAGTCTATCGAACTGCATTTTTTTTCTAGGCGAGAAAGAATAAAATCCTTTTAATTAAGTAGGCTATATCTTAGAATTCGCTAATTGTAACAGAAAGAGAATTTTAAAGTATCTTCGGTGGAAGCCGGGTATATTTTTGGACACTGTGGAATACTTGGCCATCAATAGAGAAGTTCGTGGAAATTTTAATGTAGAAAATCTGAACGGAGTGCCAAATTAGTTCGAATTAATTACTCGAATATGTTTTGACTTAATATAAACTGTGTTTTTATCAAAAAAGATCAACCACGCGGTTAAGCGATTAACTCTTGAGTGCTGAGAAAGCGTTTCGCTCCACCGGTTACATTCTTTCTGTGTTTAATCGGTTAACGCAGTGGTTTTCAACCAGGGTGCTGCAACGACACTTCAGGGGTGCCGCGAAATGGACTGATGGAAGAAGGCAACGCAACACTTGGATGATCAACCGAGAAGTGCCTCTCGGAGAACTTCCGGAAAATAATTGCTACTTAGGTGTTAGACAAGTGAAGAAATGCCAAAAAATTCCATGTGGCCAGCCTGTTGATGAGGAAAGAACTCGCGACCGACTACCAGTGTGAAGTGGTTTTATACATTTGACCACTAGCGGGCTTTGATGCCGCGAAATATAGCGTTGAGTAGTGCCACACACTTCTGAACTGTGTTACTAAAGTACTAAAAGCGCAATAGCTGTACATTAATATAAGAAGTATGGTTGTTACAACAAAAGTTATCAGTTGTGTTTTCATTATTACAAAAGTGCCGAAAAATGCTGGTTTAACGCGCCCCTCTAAATGGCATTGTACGAAAACCAAATTTTCCCACCTACTTGGAAAAGTCGTGGAGTCGAACGGTCCTTCTGTTAAAAGAACGCTCCTACTAGAGAAATTCGAATGACAGGATGGCCGAGGTGTTCTGGGGACCCGGAATCGAATCCGGACAAGCAACACTAGAAATTTTTTGTGGGCGGTCTGTCTCCGATATGTTAGGTCCCATCATTCGCTACCAGATCGCCCTCATTGTAGTCCTGGCTGAACTCACAACGTATATGAAAAAAGACCCTCTTCGGAAATAGTCAGAAATGGTAAACAAAGGAAATTCTATATAACTTGAAAACCAGATCTTTAAGCAAAAGAATACTCATACATCGTACGAAATATAATAATTTTCCGTGATTCCTTCTTTTATAATCGTGAATTATTCTACAAGTTCCTCGACTTTCGCTGACAAGAGCGCTCCGTTATTTCTTCTGCTCTATGTACAGTACTACACTTATCAAGGGCCGGCTGGATGGATGAAGCGAAAAACGATCAAAAATATTCAAAAGAAAGAAAAGAAAACTAAAAAAGATAAGCCAAATACAATAAAGCCCGTAAATTTACTCTAAAGTTAAATAAAGTAAATTTAAGTTAAAGTTGTTACTCAAAAAAATATAGTCTAAACAACTTTAAAGCAAATAATACACGTCTGCGTTAGACTCTATTTGCAACCGATCTGGAAGTATTTGCATAGAAGATATATGACATAATCATTTATACATGGCGGAATATACTCACCACTGGGTTAATGATGCTGGGCATCTTCGATTTGTCTTTCAAGATAGAAACGGCGCTGGAATATACGATAAAAGGAGTCCAACATAGCAAGAAGCAAGCCAGAACTAATACCAAGGTCACAGTTATTTTTTTCTGTTGAGAAACGGATTCGTCCAAGTCCACGTTCGACGTTTTTCGAATTCTCTGTAGATGCCGATTGATTTCTCGGAATATGTGGAAGTAACAGAAGGACATGACGCACAGAGGCACAATATAATTGGTGGTGTTTATGAAAATAGAATGCGAATACTGCAACCAGCTGTTAGGCAAACTGGGTCCACACTGGGAGGATCCCTTCTTGTAAACGATGGTGTTCCATCCGAGCAATGGCGACATTCCGCACAGAACGGACCAAATCCAAATGGCTGCTATCATGGTCAGTATCTTCTCGGGAGTCATGGTGCGACTGAACGGACGCGTTATGGACACGTACTTATGTACGCTTATGCACATCAACGTCTGAATGGAACATATCAAGAAGACGGCCATGGAAAAGCCGCTGATCTGGCAAAATACTCGGCCGAAAATCCAGTCTCCCCTGATCAAGGTTATTAGGGAGACGGGCATGTTAAAGACTGCCACCAAGATGTCGGCCACAGCCAGGTTGACCAGAAACATGTTGGTTCTGGTTCTCATGCCTCTGTGCCTGACTACGGTCAAGATCACCATGACGTTACCCGCCACGGTTAGAACCATGACGATCAAAATTACTCCGACCATAACACCCACCACCGGTGCTCCGTAATCGTGATAGGTGGAACTGTCGTTCATTCCGTGTACGAAGCGTTGAATTCGTCCGGGGTTCGGTTAAAACAGGTTTTTCTTCTGTCTTCTAATCGCATCCCAATCACACGCAGTTGGCGATCTCCCATCGACCAATAAGTTTTCACTTCCGCCACTGAAAGAAAATTCAAATATTTAACTGTAAACTGTAAGCGGAGGAATTAAAAGTTAACTGTTTCGACACAAAAGAGACTGGAAGCGTATATCGACGGAACACAAGGGTCCGAGTCGTCCGTCCGAAAACGTTCGATTAGACGATAGAGGAGAGAGAAATGGGTGTCGTCAGCACGGACTTCATTCTATTGGCCGAGGCAATTAGCCAAAGTAATCTCGTCCAATTCTCCCCGCCATAAATTTCCTTCCGCTTCTAATTATTTCCCGGCCAGACGCCACGCGGCGCGAACAATCAAAGGCGGAGCGATTTGTCGCCGAGAGAGAATCGCGCGAGCCCTGATTTATTTATAGAACGGAAGAGGACTGTTTCTCGATCGAACCGAGTCTCCTCCTTTTTCCACATCGTCGAAGACCGGCCGAAGATGAGTTTGTTGGGAAGACAGAACAAAAGTACTCACCTCTTCCGAATCCTTTCTCTGTCTCGCGGCCACCGCCCGCGCGGCTTCCGTCGCGCAGGCGCGTCCGCGAGATGGGAACGCTTCCGCCGTCGACGGGTGGATCCGTTTCCGAAGAAACGACCGAAATTTGTTTTCGGAGTTTATTTTTAGTTCGTTCGACGAAAGAAAAATATTCGTCCGCCTCCCGTATTTATTTATTTTCTTTCCAATCATTTTTATCGAGAGGACCGCGAACGAACGAGCGTCGATTTGGTCGTTCGTCACGCGACGCTTTCTCCTTTCGTGTCACTCGAATAATTTTCTCTGAGACGATGGAAAATTTCGAAGAAAAAATATCATAATTTTAAGAGGTGAGAACAAACAAGGAACATGTTCGAAGCGTAGGAGGAGGAGAAGACTCATTTTTTAAACAGGATTGGAAGAAACGATAAAGTCGAGGCAGGACGAGAGGACTTTAAAAGTTTCTAACTCGATTCAAGCAATTTTATATCGCTCCTTTCTTCCTTCGAACTAGGAAGATCCGTAGTTTGAATTTCCTGGACCAAATCGTTTTATTCACGTCGGTGGCAACTGCTTCTTGACCGACGAAAATCGAGATGTAGAACTTCCTTCCTTTGTAAAGAATTCTCGAGGAATAAAACTCCGTCCGCCATTAAAGTTTGGGTTTCGAGTAGGGACAACATACATCTAACACAGTGGTTCTCAAAGTGTGGTCCGTGAAATACTGGTGTCCGCAGTTGATCTACTCATAGTTATTTTTCCAAAATGCAATTCTATAGAACGTAGTCTAGAAAAGAACATTTTCATGCATCCCATCTCTGACATTGGATTAACGGATAGACAAAATATTTTTGCATACAGTCTATCATCATCTAAAGTGATAGGGGAGACCGGGGCAACTTCGGCATGGGGGGCAAGTTTGTCAAGCGCTTTTTTTAAAAAACAAATTAAAAGGAGACTTTGGTTATAGGTTAGGCAGTTGAGTTTTATTGGTGGCTTGTTGAGTGTAGTGTTTTTATTGTTCTCCAACAAGCGTAGTTGAATTATCAAGCAAATTTTCATTTTCGTTCAATTCCATATAATATTTTTTTTCCATTTATATTGAATTGGCAGGTTTTGTTATAATTCCATGATAACGAAAGTTACTTTTCCTGTTAGAAGGATGTAACTTCAACTTATTCACGTGGCCAGATCGTGGCTTGGCATTCTGTTCTCAGGGTTGTACTTAATGTTTCGAAATCATGACTAGCGGGGTAAGATCGGCAACATAAAGCCACATTAGAAGCAAAGGATAAAAATCAAACAGATGATAAATGAAAACATGTTTGCATTTGTTATTCATGTATATATGTCTTTGAACTTGCATTTCGTTGTAATAATATTAAATGGGTGTTGGATTTGTATTTCTTTGTTTTAATAGTGAATTCCAACTTATACATTGTTAATAACATAATTTTATATACGTGCCTATCTTGCCCCATTACTGTTGCCCCTATACCAGGGGCAACTTTAATAAAAATAATTAAAATAATTACAACTTTACAAAAAGAGAGAAGTTGCCGATCTTGCCCCTATACCCGGGGCAACTTCGTCAATTTCTCTCTTCTTGTAAAGTTGTAATTATTTTAATTATTTTTATTTCCAAACTGATTTTAACCAGTTCTATAGTAAGGTAACATTCCAATAGACAATATGCAAAGCTTTTTTTTTTCAGTTTACAGCAGTATTTATTACACAAAATTTAAGTAAAGCTTAACATGCCGATCTTGCCCCGGTCTCTCCTATATTTACAGAATGAAAAGTGGACGAGGGCATAAATGATCCGCGGATCGGAAGCCTAACTTTGAGAACCATCGAATTTCGTCGAAGGTTGTTTCTCGCTTATTTCAGCAGATGGTTTGGAGGAACGCAAATCTTCTTAAATTTATCACTTTGTAAAGTCAAATTGCAATTTTCTACTTTTATTAATTCAAGTGCGTGTTGCTAATTCGGCTGTAAAATTTCCAAACAAATACGGACTTCATCCAATTCTCTCGTAAGAATTCCGGCGAAAATCCAAGGGAGACGAGTGACACCCTTTCTTAAATTCCTCGTTCTATTTTTAGACGCTTCTTTTCCCCGTTTTTTAAAATATTTTCAAAAATAGAGCGGAATGTTTTCTGCCTATCGCCATTAAGGAACGTGGAGAAAAATCTACCGAAGGACCCACGGGAATGGTCGAATTAACAGAGAATTCTGGAGCCGTGGGTGACGCCATTGAAATAGACCTGCAGGTGTTTGTACCGACTAAAAAATAACGTCCGATAGTAAAACCGTTTCATACATAATTTCTCTTGGGCTGTTTTACACTTTTAATAAAACCCAAATGATTTAGAAATGAGCAATGTTGAAATTAATTGTTGAACACCGTACAATTTTTCCGTCAAATTTCGCTGACTTTAAGCGCGTTGTTTCGGTTGTAATATTAATTATTAATTTCTGTTAATATTATTAATCGAAATTATTTATTTAACAGTACGCTGTCGCTATGTATAGATCGATAGCATATTAATTAAGTGACGTCATGTTAATTAACGTGTGCATCGAGGGTTTAAAAATTTGTTAAGAACATTAACTCAAAAACGCAAATTATGTTAATACTCGCTGTTTAAACTCTTTAAATGTGATTATAAACTCATTAAATGAAACTCCTTGAAATTGAAGAAGCTACACTAGTGTTTAAATTCGTGGGGGAAGGTTTAGGATGGAGAAAATGTCAGCATTATTATTATAATTTTGTTATCTAGTAATAGTAATTAATGATATTTAAGCCAGATACGGTAAAATTTCGATACGAAAAGAATCTAAAACATTATACCAGTTAGAAAATTCTTCCCTAATTCAATGTATCCCGAAATTAATGCATTAAACATTTATAGTTTTCGATGAAATTATTTCGGACACGACAGATATATTAATGTTATTGTAACCTCGCTTATTACTTATTACATTAGCACTATCAAGTAGTCTTGATTTAATAAAATCAAGACTACTAACACCATAATTTTTATATAATACAGCCAATTCTTCCACTACCGGTACATTTTTCAATGAGTGACAGTTTAGGAGTACCGTATATTGTTTCTCCCTTAAATTGTATAATGTTTTTTCACTTGGTAAGTTCAATCTATGATAGTTTCTGCTGAGAAATAAACAGACTGTCGTGTCTTATATTCTTTAATTTATTATACTAATACACTGATGCATCTTTTAAATTCCTTTCATGGGGCCGTTCAAGTATTTTATCAACAAAAATTGCCCTTTTGGATCACCCTCCCTCTAATCGTGTCATCAGGCCAGAAGTCAAAACCACACTTTAGTTTAACATTCGCAAATACACACGGATTATTGTCAGACAATTCTTTGATGACTGGGAGAAAATAGACAGCAAGAGCAATTTTACATCATCAAAAACCCGCCCTCCTCTCATCGTCAGCTAAAAACCAATTTCCTCTACCCATAAACTAATGGCGTAATACTAGAATGATTTCTTTTATTTTAGCTGCCATTTCATTGATTTTAATTCGCAATAATTTTCTATTAGCTTGTCTTTTCCTTAATTTTACAAATAATTTTTTTGTTACTTTCTAAAAGTAGAAAGTTTTTACTCAATATTCTTTATCATTTTTTCCCCCAAAGCAATGTACTTAATTATTTACTTCTTTATTACTATTAACATATTGTTGAAACACGAAGACGTCTGACATCTTAACTTATATAATTTATGCCATAAATTTGAGTTCTGTCATTGCGCAACTCATCAATTCCTTTTGCTTTTATTCTTCTATAATAAGTGTATGTCTTTATTAGATTTTCTGTTATCTATAAGAACAGAGGCGAATTAGGCAACAATCGGATAGGCTAACTACATTATTATAAACCATTCGTTCAACTTTAGTTATTCCTATTCCTAAAAGTCATGTCCTATTGTAGTAAATTAGCTGTCATATGTACTGTACTGTACTATATACATACAAGATCCCATTAAAAATTCGGTGCGTAACCAGTGAGATTACAATCAGCCTTAAAGCCATCTACATCCATAGATAAGTTATGATTACCCAGTATATATAGACCTATGCATCGAAGGTGACTAATATGCCTAATATCCAGAAAAGATCAACCTTTTATGGATGAGGGCTGCAAGGGAACTTCGTAGACTTCCGGCAGGCCATATACAGTTTTTCTTATGCAGGCTTTTAAGTCTGTCGAGTAGCAATGTACTGCATAAGAGCCATTAGCCTACACTAGTTACTAAAATAAATGCTAATGATATGAAAACTAGTAATACCTGTGTATAGTTTATTCTCATCTTTTAGTTTGAATGTACTATACAGTACTTCGTCACGTATATCGGTTTAATCGGGGTTGCATAATGGTATGTACTGGACGAGACAGAAAACAGGAAAATAAAATGACGTTACCAAAGTTCCGGGGGCGCACATTAGGACTCGCGGGCCGAGGGTTGCTCACGACTGAATTAAGCTATGTGTTCTAACAGTTTTAAATATAGATGACCTGTAATTATTCAATATATCATATAATTAAAACGATAAGATGCACAATAGAATAAAGATTGTCATAATGAATTTTATATCGTTAAAAAACAAAGTTAGTAATTTGTAAAATATAGATTCTTAAATGCATGGAGGTTTAAGAAAAATACTTTAGTGTATACTTTATGCATACAATATAAAAAATGCTTTATGTTTTATACTGTATGTCTTTATGTAAGTTTTATTCATCATCACTTCTATGTATAGTTACAATATTTAAAATTATTTTGTAGAATTCTACAATCGTTATCGTAATATTATTGATTAAAAATCTAATCTATTTATGCGTAAAATTAATAAATAGGCCTATATAAATATTTTGAAACGTTATCCATACAATATAAAAAATGCTTTATGTTTTATACTGTATGTCTTTATGTAAGTTTTATTCATCATCACTGTATAGTTACAATATTTAAAATTATTTTGTAGAATTCTACAATCGTTATCGTAATATTACTGATTAAAAATCTAATCTATTTATGCGTAAAATTAATAAATAGGCCTATATAAATA